AACGAAGATATGAAAAATCTTTCGACTATGTTAAAAGTGAGCCTTTATACCTTGTAGCAATGAAATGATATATTATATTGAATAATATTTGGGGATAGCTTTTAATCGTACTTAATAATTTTGATTTGGTCCCTTTTTCACGTAGGTGACAAAGGTGAAGATAGCTTATAACTATCTATCTAGACTGATATTCATGCGAGTAGATTAGTGAGGGGTAGTTTTATCTCATTTTTCTAGCCAAGAGGTTACGTGGAGGACACATGTCAAATGGTGGTTAGTCGATAATAATATCCTCTTTATCATTTATTCCCTTAGAAGGTATGCTTTAAGGGCTCTTTAGCAAGGGTCTTGAAGCGTCACGTTTAGCCCATCTGACATATTAGACTTGCACTCCTTTAATCACTTCTTTAAGGGAGAAGTAGGGGTTCCTAACCAACGTACCTTAGGTATACTCAAAAAGGGCTGGGAACTCATTCTCCCCATCTTGAGGAATGAGAATGCCCACCATAGTTGACTTTGACCTCTCAACCTTGAGTAAAGGGGAAGGTTAGTGCCTAACCTTTGGCGGAGAGAGAGTCATCACCTAACCCCTCCGTTGTAGTCGACTCTCGATCACTTGCCTTAAGTCAAGAAGGGGGTTGGCGCTTGACCCACCCATCTTGGGCGGTAAGGGGATCAATATTTGACCCATCCGCCTTGGGCGAAGAGGGGGTTGGTGCCTAACCTACCTACCTTGGACATAAAGGGGGTTGACACCTGACCCCTTCGTCATGGTCAACAGAGGAGGTTAGTACCCAACCCACCCACCTTGGGTGAAAAGGGGGTCAATGCTTAACCCATCTATCTCGAGTAAGGAGGGGGTTGGTGCTCGATCCACTTGCCTTGTGTAAAAAGAGGGTTAATACCCAACCCCTTGATCATGGTTAGTAGAGGAGGTTAGTGACTGATGCACTCACCTTGACTGGGGAGGGAGTCGACAACCAACCCATTAGCCCCGAGTAAAAATGGGTCGGTGCCCGACCCCTCCATCATGGTTGGTGGAGTAGATTGTCACCAGATTCACCCACCTTGGATGCTAGTCATAGGTGTTCTACAAGTCAATCACGTGAGTGATGACATATGTGATATGATACTCAGTCTTTTTGCTTATTATTATTATTATATTTTCTCACTTTATATTACTTATTGCATGAATATATTATGATATTCATGGATTTGTGTAATGAGAATCAAATCATGATAAGATCACGATAATGAGACTGATTCACCTTTAAACACAAACCCTAAATAATCATAGTCATATATTACTCGAGAGAGACATCAAGATAATCGAACGGACTAGTGTGTTGTATACTCATCCATATGATGGAGATGGCTAATCTCATAGCTGCTCGTGTGGGGACACTAGGGCTACAATGCAAGCGCTCATTGGAGAATGAGTTTACTGATTGATCCGCTCACAGAATGCTAGATGATTGATGATATCTCTATCATATAGTGATTCTATCATCCCAATGGTATACCTAATCCTTAGACTTGAGGTACCAAAGTTGTCCTGTATGAGTACTCCACTCTTTGATACCATACTTATAAGTTTGAAAGTTTCAAATCTAGTACAACCGGCCATCAAGAGTGACAGCTAATCTTATGAGGGCTATTGAGTGTCGATAGAGGATCATCTGCTCTTGGTATCATGAGAGGAATATCTCATGTGTTCTTGCTCAGATAAATCCTTGGTCAAGGTCATTCGGATTTAGAAAGAAAAAGTTCTTCAAGATAATTCGATTAGAGCGAGACTCGAAGAGAAATCGTATGGGCCCGATAGTACCATGCCCGATATATAGTCTTTGGGATATTAGATATATGAGGGACTATAGGTACATAGTAATTGATGCTAGATATGTACGTATTGTTTGGGGACTGCGGCGTAGTAGCCTAGTACGTTCGTAGTTGATGAGTCTAGTGAATTATTATGGGGAGAATAATTCACTAAGCCAGAATGAGTTTTGATATGTATGACTCATGACTAACTCGATATTAGGTTTAGAGGGTCACACACATATGGTAGATGTTGCGATGAGTAGAGGTTCAAATATGAGATATCTGTTGAACCCCCTATATTATTGGATATCCAATAAGCCCATAAATTATTAGATTATATGGATGAGATCCAATAAGAGCCAATAAGAGATTATTGGATAAAGGTATACTAATATAAGTAGCTTGAGTAGTTGAATGAAGATCTAATATCCAATAGGGCAAGATCTATTATGGTTAAGTTGATAGGGAACCTCTATAAATAGGGGAGAACTAAAGACTCATAAGCTGAGAGGTGTGGAGATTTAGGCAACGATTCAAGAAGTATCTTCCCAGGCCCTACCGTATAGATCACCATTAGAGAGAAGGACACTTAACCTCTTTAATCTTATCCCACGGATATATAAGATTTCAGGAATATATGATCACCCTAGATAACTCAACTATATCATACGTGATTTTCAATTTCGTGAATTTTTACACACCAATCTTCACACGACGACGAATGCCTTTTTGGGAAATATGAGATTTTATTTTCTATTCTTCCGTAGCGCATGTGATGTCGCATCTTGATTTTCCTACATTGGATAGAAAGAGGGTTGACACTCAGCCCCTCTACTATGGTCAATGGAGGAGGTAAATACCTGACCAACTCACTTGGGTAGAAAGGGGGTAGACATTCAACCCAACTACCTCAAGCAAAAAGGGGGTTCGTGCTTGACCCCTCCACTTCAAGCTAACCTCACGGGAGTTAGGTTTTTTCAACCTCCATGTCTTAAGCAAATCTCACTTTACGTGGCTCGAAAATTTTCAACCTAGTCTAGCTTGCCTTTGGTTCTCTTCAAGTGGGATGAGTTATTCCAGCTCATGTGTCTCGAGTATATTTTATCTTGTATCTTATATTGGTTATAGGTGCCTTGTAAGTCAATTATGTGAGTAATGACACGTGTGACATGCTGCATAATATTTATTATTATTATAATATTTTTCACTTTATATTATATGATAAATATATATTATAATATTCTTAAATCTGTGTGATAAGAATTTGATCATAATGAGATTATGATAGTGAGACTAATTCACCTATAAACATAAATCGCTAAATGTTTTTCAATCATAGGTTACTTAAGAGAGACATTGAGAGAACCCAATAGACCGGTATACTATATATTCGTCTATATGATGGAGACAACTAGTCTCATAGCTGCTTATGTGGGAACACTAGGGATATAGTACGAGTGCTCATTGAAAAACGAGTTCATCGAATGATTCGCTTACAAAATGCTGAATGGTTAATGATACCTCATCGTCAGACGATGATTTCGTGGTCCCAATTGTATATATGGTCCTTAGACTTGAGATACTAAGGATGCCTTATTTGAGTACATCATTCTTTAATCCTAGACTTATATGTCTAGAAGTTTCATATCTAGCACAATCAATCATCAGGAATGATAGTCACCTTACGAAGGTAATTATGTGTCAATAGAGGATCTTTCACTCTCGGTACCATGAAAGGAATATCTCATATACTCTCACTTAGGAAAATCCTTGGCTAGGGTCGATCGGATTATGATGAATCTAATAAGCATGAGAATCAGATTGAGAGAGGAGTTCTTTGGGAAAATCCAATTAGAGTGAAATACCATCATCAACAGGTGGAGACACCCGAGATAATGCACATTCTAAAAAAAACCAAACGAAGTATCTCTTACCCTCAAGGTATTTGTATTTTTAATGGGCTCTCGAAGCTCAAGGTTCTCCTCGGGAAGAAGAGGAGGGAGGCAAATATTAGTATTTGACTTGTGTAATGGTAAGCTCTTGTCATTCACAACGTTAAAGAGAGTCAACCTATTAGACCCAATTCTAAATACGTCATTCCAGCGAAGATGGGAAGGCCTACAAGAATGGCTAAAAATATAAAGCAACGCTAGAGTCACAGAGCAATATTGTCGAGGGTTCCTATGCTCCAGGATAGCAAAACAGATTTATCATTCCCTCTTGGAGGTTCTGCTTGATGTAGGTTTTCGTAATGAAGTCTTGGTAAGTCGAGTTATGATTAACCCCTTTAGTATCTTATTGTTATATTCTTGCTAACTCATTTGTTTAACTTTTAGCATTATCATTAGGTAATAAATCTTCTCTAACTGTGTATAGGATATCGATTATGTGATTAATCAATAGTCTCCTATGATCGATAATCTCTAAATAGAGGTAGAGGGGTTGAAGAGGGAGAGGGAAGACCCAACACTTATCGCTAAAGCAAAGGCTATGAGAGCTAAGTTAGTGATGCAACTAGAAGAGGCCAGTAATTAAAGATGCAGAACAATCATAACACAGAGGTTGAGTTACTACGACTTACCGAGAGCTAGACTCAATGAGGACCTATGACTCTGAGCTTGTCAAGCAAGTTATCATGCCCAATGAGTAGGTTATGAGTGTAATTGAGCAGTTAACTATCATGAATGAGCAGACTTAAAGTATGAGTAATGAGTTAGGAGCTTTAAAGGAGACATTAGAGGCTAAAAGGACCATGATACAGAAGTATCAAGAGGAGGCAACTATCGACTATAAGGCCTTTGTCGGGTTGAGAAAGGGTTTGGAGAGGTCAGGGGGTCACCTTGTATCGATACAGATACTATATTGCCTTAGCTCACTTCAAGGCGGGTTACCTCGGGATAGAGATTGATCCATTCATCAAGTACTTGAAAGATCAGAATGTTCTATAATTACCTATATCCTCTTTAACAATGATCCCAAATCATCATATCACTCTGATGCTTAGTTCATCATCTTGTCATATTATACTAGCCTTCTTTGAGTCATCGGATCTGTATACCTGACTAATATATATATATATATATATATATATATATATATATATATATATATATATATATAATCACTCGTCTAAGTAACGGAGAGAAACCGCGAGAACTTCATGCAAGAAAAAGACGGAGACGACAAGGCCATCAAGAAGTGACGCGAAAAGTCGACGGCCATCAAGAAGCGATGCAAGACGACGACCATGACGGCAGAGGGGATGAGACGGCAGAGTGGGGGCGCGACTACGAGGGGATGACGCGGCAGAAGGTTGTCCATAGAATCCTCCTACTCCTCCCGGCGAAATCCCTCCTACGCTTCCGCTGCGTCTCCCGCCGGTGGAACGGCATCATCTCCAGCAACTCCTTCGTGCACGCCCATGCCGCCGCTCCCCGCCTTGTTTCCGGCCTATTATACCAGAGCAGCCAAGGCACGGTGGTGTACGCCGCGTTCTGCCACGCCACTGCCTCCCTCCCCGACCCTTCCCTCTCTTTCCTCCCTGAGCCGGTCGCCGTCAAGGCCTCCGCTCGGGGCCTCCTCTGCTGCCGCGGTCGCTTCTCGTTGATGTACTACGTCTGCAACCCCACCACCGCCGTGTGGGTCAGTCTCCCGATGCCGAGGAATCTGCACAACTACGACACAGAGGTGGTGTTGATGATCGACGATCCGCCCCGGTCCAACCGAGTCTCCGAATTCCGTGTCGTGTGCGCATTTCCTCAAGTCGATAGACTACATCATGTCTGCGGCTTGGAAACGTTCTCAACCGACGAGTGGCGGTGGGCTACGTCGAAGTGGACTCCGCGCCTGGGACGGCTGTTACCCGGGTCTGGCGTGGTGGTCGGCGGGCGAGCGTGCTGGCGGACGACCATGAACACAGTGCTCATGTACGACCCCAGGAATGAGGAGCGGTGGGGGTTCGAGAGGCCGGAAAGAGACCTCGACGGCGTCACGTGGTGGGAGATCGGCGTGATAGAGGGGCAACTCAGCGTAGCGTACGCAAAGGTGGCATCGACGCCCGAGTCATCGACGATGGTGGAGGTGATGGTGGCCGACAGCGACTCGTGGTCCTTACGGGGGGCGTTCGGCTTCGGGCCAGGGTCGAGAGAGAACAACCTGAAGCCCCTGAGGATGGAAGGGGACAAGGAGTTGCTGCTGTGGGATGGGCAGAGGCACATCCTGGGCCGCGACATGGCCGGCCGGGAGACAAGGCTCCTCGTGGTCGACGCGCCGGCCACCTTCAGCGTCGAGTTCGTGCCTTACACAGCCACTCTACTGCATGTGAAGAGGTAACGAGCTCTTGATCTATGTGACCTCACGTCTTTGATCCACAAGTGTTCGACGTAAAGTTTTGCGTGCTTTCGTGGGTTGTCCATGATGGGGGCTTTGAGTTCTAGTCTTGCTATTTGGTGTTGCCGATGCAAAATCTTCATGATGTGTGTGAGGAGTTACACTTTGTTTTGGTCAAATCATCTTACACTTTCAGCCATTCTATTCTCTTCCATCCAATATTTCTATTCTTTCAATCATCCAAAGCATTTATCTTCATCACTCGTATATCTCCATACATATGTTTGGAAATCCATTGTAGGGGGATCAGAAGCCAACTCGCCGGCGCTTCTACTTCCAGCCGCGTGCAGCGCTGAATGGATACTCAAACGAAAAGGTGTTTTCCGTTCTGCAATACTTCGGTCTTCTTCTTCTCTTTATTCTTCAGCAAGCTGACTGTTTTCCTCCAACAATTAAAAGGCATTGGCTGTGGCATGAAGAACTTGTTGTCGCTGGGAAAAAATGTTTTCTGTTTGACATTGATTCGGAATTGTTGCATCTGTTTGATAATATGAGACCCAACAGGAGACATGAATGGAATTTGTAGAACAAACAGAGGATTTCTACGGGTTATATTTTTCTTGCTGCAGTCTGATTTCTTTGGAGATTTCTCATTTATTCCTCTCGAGTATATATATATAATGTATAAAGATTTTTCAGATAAGTAAAATATTTATTGTGCAAAATTATACTTGATATTAACTAACTTGAATTAGAAACACATTTATATACCTAAAATGCTTCTAATGTTTTTGTAAACATTATGAGTTTTTGAAGTGTATTAACGTTATTTGACTATCTAACTCAAAATTAACAGAGATTAATCAAATCTATACATACATGTATAGGATGTTAGATTTTACAGGAATATGTATAAAACTCTAAATAAGATTAATATAATTCAAAATCATTAAGTTTTTTAAGATTATAAAAAAGTAATTTTAGGTACTTAAATGTGTAAAAGAAATGCTCAAAAAATAATGTTGAAACAATTTGCCATTTTTTTTGTTTTAACATTATGTTTTGAGCATTTCTTCTAGAAAAATATATAATCATTTAACATTGACATATTTAAATATCAAAAATTAATTTTTATAATCTTAATAATATTATTTAGGGTTTTAGTTAATAATTAATAATTAGATGATGAAGATTAATCACCATTACACATATTCACACATAATCTATATGGTTAAACTTAGTGGTGAAAACAACAGTTATTTACTTTAGAGGAATATATATTTGCAAATTTGCCATTTTTGTTTTAGCATTCTATTTAGGAAAATGTAACCATTTGACGTTGAGATTGCAACGATCGCACGTGCCAAGGAAAACGTACGTCGAGCGGTCGCGCGGGAAGCAGTTTACAGCCGGCCAATATTAGGCTTCCGGTCAGCTAAAACTGGGAACCTGAAGGGTCTTCACTCGCTCCTCTCTCTCTTTCTCTCTCTCTAGTTTGTCTTCCTCCTCGTATCTGTCTCTTTCTCTTCTGTTACTCTGTTTCTTCCATTCCTTTCTCGCTTCGGTTCCAGCCTTCTTATCTTGGGTTTGCTACTTGGATGGCACTGCATTCCAAGCATTAAAGCGGTGGTGTTTGGAGGAGGACGAAGCCACACGCTCGACGCACCTTCTCCTCCCTCGCCCTTCTCTGACAACCATTCCCCTCTCCTGACATTACAGGAGGTTCCAAGGAAGATAACAGGATACGTATGTGGTCACGAGTGTTCATTGCGCTCCGCAGCGGCTTTATCTTCTTTGTTGTTTTGATGCCTTTTGATCATGGAGTCTTTTTGCAGGTGGTCTTGATATACTGCGTTCTCTGAGAGAGGGAGAGTGGTGAGTCCTTTGAATCTTAGCTTCCGTCTCCGCAAAAATGTCTTCTGCTCCGCCGCCGGATGGTTCTTCATCTAACTCGAGCGATTCGTCTTCGTCATCGTCTCCACCGACGTCTTCGAATGCTTCCCCACCTCCTCCAACCGATAGCACAACTCCGCCGCCACCTGACTCGGATGATAACTCGTCTTCGCCTCCTCCGCCGTCTGACTCAGATGGTTCTCATCGTTCATCATCGCCGCCGCCACCCCCGCCACCGCCACCGCCACCGCCTCCGCCTCCTCCATCCCGATCACACAAGTCATCGTCGTCTTCAAAGCAATTGTCACCTTCCCATAAACATTCACATCCGAAAACATCATCCCACTCAAACGAACGCCACCAATCTGACGTGAATCTGCCAGTTATCATAGGGGTCGTGGCAGGAATCGGGATGTTCTTTGTCCTCATGATCATCGCATGCATTTGCTGCTCCAAGAAGAAGAAGAGGAAGTCTCACAATCCAATGAAGTACTACGCAAATGATTCAGGATACGGTAACTGAAGCAAGCCTTTGATCCAATTCTTGTCTGTCATCATCGTTGTTCATGATATAAAGTATCTTCTTTGCAATGTTTTGATGTACTTCTCATGACTACGTTTCTATGCTTGTAGACAGTGGGCTTTACAGCAATGGACCGCACCCGAATTGGCACAATGGACTCCAGGGTATGGACCATGTAGTTAAAGTGCCGCCACCTCCCGGTTCCTTCCATGGAGGAGGAGGGTGGCATGTTCAGCCAGGTCCGACGATGATGAGCAGCGGCGAAGTTAGCTCAGCCTATTCAGGGCCTCATGGGCCTGCCTTGCCACCTCCCTCTCCCATCGTCGCACTCGGGTTCAACAAAAGTACCTTCAGCTACGAGGAGCTCGCAGCTGCAACAAATGGTTTCTCGCATGCTAATCTGCTGGGCCAGGGAGGATTCGGGTACGTCCACAAGGGAGTTCTACCCAACGGGAAGGACATTGCGGTGAAGCAGCTCAAGTCAGGGAGTGGGCAAGGAGAGAGGGAATTCCAGGCTGAGGTCGATATCATTAGCCGCGTCCACCATCGCCACCTCGTCTCTCTCGTCGGATACTGCAGTGCTGGTTCGCAGAGGATGTTGGTGTATGAGTTTGTCCCCAACAAGACTCTTGAGCACCACCTCCATGGTTAGCTCTCGCTCTTGACAACTTCGGAATCATGTCTGATACGCCTCTTATGATACCTGGTCACCTTCTGCCATCTATTGCAGGAAAGGGGCTCCCAGTAATGAACTGGCCGACGAGGCTCAAAATTGCACTGGGATCGGCCAAAGGCATTGCTTACTTGCACGAGGACTGTGAGTAATTTGAATGCGTTTCCTTCTTCCTCTCCTACACTGCAACGTCTAACCTTGTTCCGAATCATGTCATGAAGGTCACCCTCGAATCATTCACCGTGATATCAAGTCTGCCAACATTCTTCTGGACTTCAAATTTGAAGCCATGGTAAGGACATTCCAGCTTTCATCTTTCTTTGAATAATGCTGGTAGAAACAGCAAGAGGATCTGTAGAAAAACCAAGAAGAGAGCATCAGAATTGTAGTTTAGAGAAACCATGATTATTCTTATGAAATGGACCTTTAAGTTACTGCGTACAGAGACATAAATCCTGTATAAAACATATCCAGGTTGCAGATTTCGGGTTGGCCAAGCTGTCGTCGGACAATTACACTCACGTCTCAACCCGTGTCATGGGAACATTCGGGTGAGCAAGATGCTCTGCGAGAGGTTAGCATTAAATAGAGTCGAGCAAACTCCATTAATATGTTCTTCCACCTTGATGAACACAGGTATTTGGCTCCTGAGTATGCGTCGAGTGGGAAGCTGACAGAGAAGTCCGATGTCTTCTCATTCGCAGTGATGCTTCTTGAGCTGATAACTGGACGAAGACCCGTCGACAACTCGGACGACTTCATGGACGATTCCATGATAGATTGGGTCAGTGTGCTACGACAGCATTATATACTGTTTCTTCTGCCAAATGCTCGTGGTTGTACTTTGCTCATCGCGCATGGTTGAACAGGCGAGGCCTATTCTAGCTCAAGCTTTGGCCGAAGGACACTACGACGAGTTAGCTGACCCACGCTTAGGCGGCAACTACGATCCCATGGAGATGGCACGCATGGTGGCATGCGCCGCCGCCGGCGTTCGCCATTCTGCGAGGCGACGACCCAAGATGAGCCAGGTGAGATCACCAAACTCCTCCAAGATCCTCTGTTGCATGAAATGAATCACACCGGTTCTGATGCGACGAGAGGATTGCAGATCGTGAGGGCATTGGAAGGCGACGTGTCACTCGAGGACTTGAACGAGGGAGTCCGGCCAGGGCAGAGCACGCTCTTCAGCTCCGGCTCCGACTACGAGTCGAGCCCCTACACATCCAGCGGCAACCGTGTCAGGAGGGTCGTGGTTGCGAGCTCCGAGTACAGTGCCGAATACAGTGGACCGAGCAGTGGAGGACACTCTGGCGAAATGAGACCTGTTGAAAGCCAAAGACAAAGAGCTCTTCCACAGCTCTGAGGAGACAGGACATGGTTTCTCCTTGAGGACAATGATTCCTGAGCCTGTAATTTAAGGTAGACGACGGCTCCGCTCGAGGGCTCTGTTCCTAGCAATAAGTGAAGGTCTTTCATTAGTTTGATTTGCTCGCAGAGTGATTTCGTTGGTCATTTGCAGAGGAAATGTTTAGAGGAGGAGAATTGGAGGATGATGTTCTTTATGCAATTGTCTTTGTTTTGTTCTGTTGTAAATGAACTGATAGATATAGGATGGAAGCATTTGGTTTCTGCTCAAATTTGCCTACACATATGTCGAAGAAGTAAACATGTGTCCGACTTTGACAACAAGAAGTCAAAACTTGTGCAAACCTGGACCCGGCGGTCAACCGTGGACCAACCAGGCCCAGGTAACGGTCCAATCTCTGTGTTGGATGGCCTAAGCGGCCCCACATTATCGCCCGATCATGACAAGAACGACCCGGTGGCAATCTTGTGATTTTGGTGCCATAAACGCTCTCACCCGTTCAGGTGACATCGCCTCCGGAAGCCTTCAAGCAGACAACGATCGGGGGCGAAGCGGTCCGTCACTCGTTCGTCGATTCCTTCGGTGTCCATCATCTCTGTTATGAGGATTTAATTTTCGTTGTTTTAATGAGGGTTTGTTGCTTAATGTATTGGATCTCTTTCGGACGATCATCTCATTTCATCATCGCCCTAGTCGTTGTTTTATGTTAGTGCTATCGTTTAATGGGTTGTTTTTGCTGTATGATCTTGAATGGATGAGCCGGGTTAGTATTGTCCAGTTGTTGAGGGTATTGTTTATTCTCGTTCTCTTTTTCTTTGTTTGCTTCGTGAATTCTAGTTTTGACGATGATATTTAAGGTACAAAATGCGCCTGCTATGAATTTCTGATCAAGTTGTTTGTTCGTGAAATTCGATTTAAGTTCTGCGTGATTTTATACGAAATTTCTTTTCGCTGTCGACATGTTCTCCATTGGTTGGATTCACAAGAAAACCTAATTCGACAGGGATAGTCAAGTTGTTGTTTCGTATGCGTGGTTTTGGTTGATTTCTAATGCCCTCGGTGACGTTCATGCTTTGCCTAATTGTTCTTGTTAGTTGCCATTTGTTACAGTTTTTGAAGCCGTAGAATATGTTGACAACGACTCAATATAATACTCAACTTTATGGCTCATTTTGAAGATTTGGCAGTCTTTGTGCTCGATCATAGATCATGCATACGACTGGCGGTGCGTGTCCAAGAGCAGCTGTAGGTCTGTCAGAGCATGACTTCAACACAGATCGCATTATCAAGCTTTTCTTTTCTCGGTCCCACATGATTACATCATAGGTTCCGAAAGCTAGCACTGCATCTTGGATCTTCCCTTTAATTTCTAAAATCATACTTTAAGATTTATGAGGTGGAAATAGGCAAGGTTTTAGCAACAATAAAGCTATAATGTCCCAACTATTTGGGTTCGGCTACATGAATTTTTTGCAGCCATTGAGCTCTATGCAACATAAGAAGGTAACAAATAATATTCAGCTCAAAGAAGGCTGGTTGAAGATGAAGCCTACTAGTGATCCTTATGGCACCTTTCTGAAGCATATTAATACTTTCTTTGGAGCTGAAAATTTTGATTCAGATATATGTGCTAGACATAGCTCCAGCTTATATCTAGTAAAGTGGGCAAACTGCTATGCTAATGATGTATATTCTATGCTATAAAGTATTATCCCTGAAAGGAAATCTTATGACCTATGCTAGTGGAAAAGTTTATTTTATTTTATTTTTTATGTATCAGAGAAATGCTGATATTTATGCATTAAGATCAATATTTCCTTTTACCTCAGTGAGAACACCGTTTTAGCTGACTTCTAGTTTTGCTTCCTATCATGTAATTTTCTACACTTTTATGATTGGTTCCTGACTGTCCTTAAAAAAGTTTGTAAAATGGTTAGAAGGTTTCACTATGCTGCTTTTACCCTAGATTTTCCCTGAATGCACTAATTGACTGTAGGAAAGCGGTTGATATTAGGTTGAAACATATACTCTCCATATGGTCATATATGGGAACCTTTTTCTTGCTACACCACTAAATAGCAATTTTGGATTTCCACAATATTAATGCAAAGCATGAAGCAGTTTTCAGAATTGTTCTTTATGAAACATTGATGGTTGCATCGACTAGCTCTCTAGCTAGCTCATTGATGAGTCCATTCAATACATGCTTCTCCATATCCCTTACAATTTCGTCTTTTTCAACTGATGCAAATATACTGCTGTTCCAACCAATATCCCACAGACAGTTTATATCTGGCTTACTATTTTCAATGTCTCTTTCAAGCATCATGTGAAGGAATTCAGCAATGTCATCATTATATGTAGTTTCTTTGGGGAACTTAAGACTCTCAAGATCATCATTCAACTCCTTCACCAGTGCATCCAGGTATCTAGCTTCCCCTGTTGCATGAGGCCTTGTCATGGCACAGGTAACCTCTCTTTTCCCTTTTCTCCTCAGTAACTCATATCCACAGTCTAAAAGTAACTTGTTTTCCTCTTTTGGACAAGCCTGGTTGCTGGTTTGTAGAACACCAACTGGAATATCAATTTTGAAAATTTCTTGTGCTGTGTTGCGGAAATGCTGATTGTTAATCAGAAGTTGCATGAGGAAATGTTCATCCTTGGTAAGTGAACCTTGTCCATTTACTTCAGATATTGCCTGACTCATCTGATTTAGGGTATTACAATTGCTAAGCTGCCTGTCGTTATTTACATCTGCAACAAGAGATTACATACAATCATTAAACTTTTTTTTTTCCTAATTTTGTTGTTATGATAATTTTCAAAATTCAGATTGATTGTGTTGGGCTTGCATGTTGCATATATATATAGAGACACACACACACACAATGTTTAACAATTACAATATTTAAGTTACCTTCTGTCAGCTTTTCCCTGTTGTTATAAGGTTGTGGTTCTGAATCTACACTGATGGAAGCTTCTTGCTCTGGTAAAGCCTCCAAAGCTGATTTTATTATGTCATCATCCTGGGAGAAAAATGTATGAGATGCTAGCAGGCCAATAAACAGAATATAGTGCAAAAGCTTCATGGAGTTGTGTCCTGGCCATAATGAGGTTTTCATATTATTCTAGCAAAATGAATTCACAATGAATCAGTCAATTAATCAGTAAGATTATCTGTTTTCTTCTCTGTGATAGATTTTGTTTCTACTTTGCCTGAGGTTTTAACTGATCTATTTTATCATAGGGCAAAAAAGAGATATTTTCATCGCTCAGAGTCAATGCAGATCGACTTTGTTGCTTCAATGATTGGAGAGAGGATAACTTACATTGGTCTCCGCAACTGTCTCCTCTTCTAATACTTCATTGTCTTCGCCAGCATCAACTGAAGAATTATCTGAAACCAAGGTTGATTTAGTTTTCTGCTCTAGTTGTTGTTCTGAATTTGTTTCATGAAAGCTAACTTTTGTTCCTTTTTCTTTACTGATTCTTTCTTTCCATCTCTTCTCCAGATCATGTAAGAAGGATGATTGCTGTCTTTTCTCATTTTGTGTTCTATTATATCCAGAACTGTCCCCTAGAACTTTATGTCTTTCACCTTTCTGAACTTTCATGTTTGCTGTATCTACTTTCTTTGCAGTTGGAAAATTTACAGGCTTCATCAATGTTTTCACCAGAATTTGAGGCAGCTCTTTATCAGTTCTTGAATATGTCTGTAAGAGCTTCGTATCTTCAGAGTTCTTATGTGATGACGTTCTATCCAATTCAACATAGGCAGAGGTTCTCTCCATTGTGTTTTGCATCTCTTGATGACTGCTCTTTGCATGTCCTTTTGGTTGCTCTACATTTCTATCCTTTTCTGAATTTCTTTCTATAGCTACAACTGTGCCGCTAGATAACATCTTATGCATGCTTATTTTCTCCGTAGATTTCCTAGATTTCTGTTCACTTTTTGTTGCTGCGGTGGCCTTCAACTTGATGTTTGTAGCATGCTCTTTTTCTTTTGCAATTTCACAAACTTCATATTTGGGTTTTACTTTGACTGTTGCTTTTTGCAACGACCCTCGGGTGTTTGTCTGATTGCTTGGAAGAGCTAAGCAATCTTGGCCATTGTCCTTTTGGTTCATGCATGTATCTTTATTGCCAGCTGTTTCATCATGGCTGATGGACGGTTGCTTCTTTTTGGTTCTTTGCAGGTCACCTTCTTGGTTTGATTTGCTGATAAGCTGGCGAACTGATTCAGATATGTTTCTTCTCTCTTCTTCTTTTTCTGCCTTTTCTCTCAGTTGTACCAAATTCTTCTTGGCTATCCCTTCTTTTAAACTGTGGTTTATGTCGATGTTCTCAATCTTCCTATTGATTTCAATATGCCTCTTTGGTGCATGATTTGACAATGGAGTCATGTTCCGTATATAATTTGTCTTCTCCTTGCTGCTTTTGTCCTTAGTTTCGTCAACGCCGTTTTCATTCAGAATCTTGTTCTCTTTTCTCACTTTTTCATCTGCTATTGACGTCTGACCTATCACCATCTCTTTCTTAGACTTCGGTTCTTTCTTTCCTTCAACTTTTTTCCCCTCAGCCTTGGGCATTGGAAGTTCTTCAAGGCCCATAAGTTTAGCAACAATATTTGGCATTCTTACACTGCTGCTCACCAGGCTTTTAGGATCCAACTGCTTGGTGTTCTTTGAAGCAGAGAACTTGCCACTACCAGTTGAGAAGTTTCCAGGTTCACCACCATGGCCTTGTTTGTGTGTAATGCCTGAATACAAGGAATTAGGCAGCGATCCAGGACCACAACTCAGAGACTGTTTGTGTGTAGCGACTCGCGTTGATGCATCTAATGAACTCTGACTATAATTTGTTTTGGCTATGCTTTTTTTCATAGAAGATGATGGCGTTTTTCTCTGCCCTTGAATTCTGGTATCATCATTTGCTTTGGTGAATTTGTAGAAATGGTTGATGGACCCATCAAAAGAAATTCTGGGCTTGTACATTAGAGCCTTCCGATTGTCTTTGACGTCAGATGTTTCATCGTCTTCCACACCCTCGAGCAATTTGATCTGCCTCCCTTGAGAGCCAACCATGTAATCTGAAGCCTCCTGCAGGGTGGCAAGCATTTTCAATGACTCTTCCAAATCTATGGCCCCTTTCAACAATTCTCTTCCAATCTGAATTGAATCCTTTCCAAAATTTGTCCTATCGGAGAAGGTTTCGAGGATCTTATTCAATTTCTGAACACCTTTTGATATTTCACCGACTTGCAAGTTGGATAAAAAAGGATATCGATCGGCATGATGTTTCGTGCTGTATAACAAGTGTTGATTTGCAGTTCCTGCATAATATATAGATCCACTATGTGGAATGAGCTCGTTACCAAATTTAGCTATGTAATGAAGTTTTCCACTATTACTGAGTGCCAGTGCTAGTGCCATTGACACATCGACAGAATTCTGACTGCTTGTGGCTCTTCCAACAGGAACAATCTCCCGTGAAGCAACTTGAGGAGCAGCTGTTTTGTTATGTTTGGTGCTGAACCATATTTCCGTCACTTGTGCGCCGACCGGATTCTTGCTGCTCTGCAAACTCTGCCAACAAGAAAAAAAATAACATCACTGAATGGTGCATACAGCCGAACATATTCCATTATTTAAAAAGTTGTGTTTAAGGGACTTGCATAGTTCTTCTTCTTCTTCATTATGTCTCCTGTTCCTCTGGACGACCGTCGGGAGCTGACATGATACTCTGTACAATATTATTCAAAGAAGATGATTAACATGTCGAGCAACCTTAAGATTCATACCTTTTTCTACGCAAGACATATAATTCTCAAGCCAGGGATATATAGGAGATCTTTTAAAAATATCATCATTTGTGTTATTATGCCGGAAATGGCACTGATATGCATTTCTTGTTGCAAAGGCTGCTGCAGTAGGCGCTAATCGTATGTAGACTTTGCTGTTGCTTTGTTTCTTTAGGATATTTCATGATCATGCTGTTGCTACTCATGATTTGGTTCCTAATGCAGTGGCACTAATGCTCGCTCGTTGCCTTTGTCATAAAATGACTTTTTTTGTTTTCTACAGATGCAGAATTATTTCAAGTATAGAACAAGCTCGTCTGATGAAGGGATCTTAGGCCCTCCTAAGAGTTCTGTTCAGAAGACCTTGTTTCAGAGTATCTTGTTCAAACGGATCATGGAGGAAGCTGTCTACCCCATTCACCGAATGTAAGTCTGTGAGTGAATAGCTAGGATTCTTATCTAAGCAAATTTGAGTTCTTTTGTTTTATTTGAAGCTCCTAAGATTATGCAATTATCCTAGCAAAGCAAATTTGAGTTTTTTGTTTTATTTGAAGCTCCTAAGATTATGCAATTATCCTAGCAAAGCAAATTTGAGTTTTTTGTTTTATTTGAAGCTCCTAAGATTATGCAATTATCCTAGCAACTCTTAATTAGGTTCAAGGGAGAAAGTTTTGGATAAAATCAATTTTTTATATATTTTTAAAAAAAATTGGAAAGCTTAAACTATAGTAGGTTGGTTTTGTCAACAATTAGCCTAAAGAATGCTCATAATTAATAAGTTATTTCCAAAATTAAATAATTAATATGTCACCCAAAACATTTCTAATGATAGAAGAAAACCTCTAATTAAAATTCTAAAGATAATAAATAAGGAACTTTAAATTCCTTTGTCCATCTCAAACCTAATTAAGATAGTGGAGCAGACGATGAGCATAATAATAATCAAGTTAGAAAAAGGGGAGGCAAGAAATTAATATTTCTAAATGCCCCTCGATTGATGAACTAAACGTTCTAATAAATAGTCTTTTTGTTTTGTGGTCTCTTCCATTCAAACTGGAATCAGGTAATGTATACATACTGAAAGGTCGAGCTATGTCATATGCTTAGATTAACTCATCCACCGCTCGCCATTTTGCTCTCACGGATGTTTTAACATACCAGAAGCAGGTGGCTGCGCCGGTTGCTGTCCCGATGACGATGCAACATATCCCAGCTTCTCCTTCCTCCTCCTGATGTCATCCAACAGCTTCTGTGCAAAATCCGGTCGCTTCGCCATGGACACACTCTTCTTCTTTCTCCTGTTAACCTTGTCGCCGCACCGTGGAGTTCTCCATGGCCTTCACCTTGAGATATCCGGTGGAGATCAGCGTGATGGTTATTTGTTTCACCGACGCAGGTAGGTGACTCCTCTCTTTGTTTCCGGGTGAACTGTCCATTTCACAGCAAAAGCGTGGGCCATCTTTTACTCAACCGGGACGTTTATCTCGAACGCTAGATTCTGCAGCTGCTGCATGCGTGCGTCCGCATCTGCCTTGGCTCCATTCCAAGCAAAGCAAGAGGCCTTCTCCTTGCGGAAGACTTCTTCCCAAGCTTGCACGCAAAGCTTCTTCGGCTGAGGAAGTGGGAGGTCTTGTAAGAGGTGGTGTGTCGTCGCATGGGCGGTGAAATGCCGGTGTCGATGTTACGTCTCCTCCTTATTTTGTTTTAGCAGCCAAAAACCCCCCATGGATTGTGTTGATCCATCTATTGGAGCCATGACATCTTTTAGGTTGAAGGATTCATCCCAACCACCGTTTCGACTAATTTGATGGACTTTACCTCGAAGATCTCGATTCTTTATCTGTAGTATGAATTGTTAAAGTTATGGCAATGGGGCCAAACACCATAGTAGTAGGATGAGGACACTGAAAAGTACAGTTTACCTGTTCTGATGAGTTGGATAGAATTAGAGAGATTTCTTTAGATCTTATGTGTATTTACATATGCATTAGTAGTAGAGGGAGATGAGAGTTTAGTATACGTCACGTCCTTTCTAATAGTTATGGGTTTGACTGACGCAAGTCTAATCCAATTTTGCGCATGAGAGAGTATGTTGGGGGGGGGGTTTAATATACATCAGGTTTTTTCTCCTATCAATTCAAGTCAAAATAGTTATTGATGGTTGTTGACATAAAACTTTCAAGCTCTATGAAAGATCAGTTGGATGAACTAATCAAAGGCTAGCAAATAAAAATAAACGAATAGAAATTATTACACTCCCATTCTCGTCGAAAACCACCATGTCATGTTGTTCTTTCGTTGGGACGAGAATAGCTTGTTAAGCAACATAGAGCTTTCTGTATGACCGTTAGGTAAAAAGAGTTATTTTATTGAATGAAGTGATATATATATACATAGAGGAATATATATTTTTTAATCATGTACTTAAAATTTTTATTATTTAAATTGATTGAAGATATAAGGAAAACAAGGATGGTATGTTTCTATCATGATCTTTTATCGGATGTTATTTTATATCTGTCATGATTTTCTATCATGCCTTTGCAAGAGTAGGTTTTTGTCAAAGATGCCAACGATGTAATTGAAATATCTTACGAGCGAGAAACTTTGTAAGGGAGCCTATTAGTTGGTCTAAAATATGAACGTGAGAAACACGTAGTTCATGTGTGACTACTTGATCTTTAACAAAGTGAAAATCGATGACAATGTATTTTATATATGAGTGGAATATTAGATTAGTGCATAGATAGGTAGCATCGACGTTATCATAATATATTATAGGAGTAGATTGCGAGATGATGTTAAGTTCGTGTAGTAGATTAGTGACACAATTGAATTCTACAGCAGTGGTGATGATGACTCAATATTCAGCTTCAGTGGTAGATTTTGCTACTGTATTCTATTTTTTGGAACTCGATTGGTTGAACTTTGCCTAATCATAGATTTTGAGTGATTGAGTTGATTATGTAAATTGAATCGAGAAAAATCTCTCCCTCGAAACTTATATAAATACACATTACCTCAATGAATAAAATCAATCCCTTTCATAATATATTCCTCTATTCTACATGATATCAAAGCTTCCTTGCTTCTAAGCAAGGCTTCCTCCCTCTCCTATTCTTCTCTTTCCTTCATCAGAGTTCCCTCGACACCGATGAAGGAACTCTGATCATTACTTCTCATTTAAGATCTCCCAAAGCCCTCCTCGATTGCGACTCTTACTCAATCACTAGTCTGCCAACTCACTGTCACCAGGATGCTAACGTGGGTAGAGAAATGCCCACCTCCCCTTTCCTAATTGTAGATAACAAGGCAAGAACCTTTTGCCTCCACCATACTATGATTTTGGGAAAGGCGACACACGTCGATCGTCGGGAGCAATAACTCCCTAATGAAAAAGCTTGTTTGTCCCTTCCTCAATCGACTGGCACAATCGACCATCGTTCGCCTATTCTGAGTGGCCGCCAGTGCTGACAAGCGATGCCTCTGTAGTCATCCTTCACTGACGACATATGATAAGGAACCGTACCATTCGATCGTTTGTATAAATGAGCCTCAGGAGGGCATACGCGCTAGGTCCCCATCAACCGTCGGTCTCCCTCCGCTGGCTACCCAGGTATAAAAGTCGATCCCCAAGGTTTGAAGAGGAGACTCGATGTAAAACTTCTACTGTTCCTACTCCACTCATACTAACTTTATCATCGGAGGGATCGGGTTAGGAAATCCCTCCAACGCTGGCCGCTTGTGTAGGGTTCTCAATGAACCCAAGGCACACCTTAGCTCATCTCTAGAACCCTAAGGAGGCCAACACCCCCTCAGTTTGACTCAAAAACCATCTCGACCATTCAACGGTCACCTTAGGATCACTTCAACTAGACTTTTCTAGACTCCTATCGTCTTGCACAATTGTTAGATGAGCTTGTGCCTTCGAGATAGAATCAAACTGTGTCGATTCCCAATCGATGGCATCAACATTATGATGCTAGAAGAAGAGCCATGATCCCTTGGCTCCCAGGAGTGCATTGATAAGGGCATTTAGTTTTATATTGATTGAGGAGTAGGGGAACCAAGAGCTTAGCACGTCGAGTCACCCTTATCCTTAGAGATACTTTTTAAGACTCACAAGCCTCGAAAGGATAAAACCGTGTAGGTATGCTTACAATGAATAATTCCTCACGAGCTAAATATTAACTTATTACCCGCGACCCAGTTTCGGAGTCGAAGCAAGAGCCGGAGCCCCCGATCATTGCTCTTGGACCCCTCCTCGGTCGCTCTCATATCCTAGATCTTAGATCGCAGATCTGAGATCTCCTGCAACTGGACTTGGAGCCGAGACAACTCTCCGATCGCTATCGGCTTTGCTATTTGCGGTCACAGGTGTCGGAGATGTGTTCACTAGGATTAACTATATGGGATCCTATCTGATCATCTCCTGATAGAATGAAAAAAAAGGAAAAACCTGTGGGAAGAAAATGTTAGCTCACGATATTATCCATGCAGATGGTTCATGCAGGCATCGAAAGATGAATTTGTAGATCGCATCTAACGAATAGGATGATTGGCCATGCACCAGCTTGCACTCTTCACTGATGTACATGCATGGAGATGTGTTCTTATCATGTCACAAACACGAGGGATTTGATGATGCCATCCAACAATACATGATCATTATGCTCATCGATTCAGGCATTCAATACAATAATGGGTAGATACGATGATAGATAGCTTTCTCCAACAAATGAATCGGAAGGTCTGTATAAGAACCTTGAGAGCTTCGTTGCGACAACAGCATTCGAGAGAGAATGGGCTGCGTTTGGGTGAGGTATCAGCACCGACAACAGCAATCAAGAGGAAAACAACGGAGAAATCAGTCGGACGAAGGTTATAAAAGGCAACGAGGTAGTCGTCGGGACGGACATCCTCCGAGCGAGCTTTCGGGTGATCCTCTCCTTCTTCGCGTGCACTATGGGGTTCGCATTGATCGTCCCCGGCGACATCGCTTCGTCACTCCGCTATCTCCACAGTCCTCGCTCCCTCCCTGTATCTCCGCGTCTCGTGGACTTCCGGCTTCCGTGAACCACCCGGTCGATTGTTGAGAATTAAGCCGAGCGAATTGATGCCGGTTCAGACGCGGACCTCCTTCGAGTTGAATCGCGAGTTCTTGCGGTCGGTTTCATGGACTCGACTCACACGTCGTCTCCGCCGCATTCGAGAAAGAGTGATACTTTTGATACCCGTTTCTCTCGCCTCTGTGCCAGAGATGATTCACAACTAAAATCTTTCGGAGCGATGTGGCACCCTAAATTTTAGTTTTCTTCACGTAATTAGTTATTTTTATAGATTACCCATGTCATTAGTTATTTTTATGTGTACTTTAAAAAATTATTTTGGTATTCTTATAATTGAACTATCTAGATCTATTTATCCTAACGTAATCGATTTTACTAATAAAAATATATAAATAAAATATAAATTAATAATATTAATATTTCAATTGGTGGTGGTGGATAACGGATCATGACACCATTGGGCTCCGCGGGTGGCTGTTGTAGATGAAAAAGTGATGACGAGAGGTGAGGACTACTCAGCAACAACATCGATGATGAGTATGATGATGTACTCAACATCGAATGTCGGGATCCATGTTTTTCTACCACTATCGAATACGTCCATTGAGAGCTCAATAATCGCTTACCTGTTGGCCTTCTAGAGCTTTCCTTTTTAGTCGACGACAACTGTGGTAAATAAAACTCTTCCTTCAATGAGTTACCCCATCTTCCTTTTTTTTATGCTCATGTCAGAACTAACGCGATAGTGAGGGGGAGCGACAATCGCTCACCCCAACTTCGAGTCGAGTAATCCACCCAATGGATCAATAGCAAGGTGACTATCACCTTTGTCGTAGATGCCACGACGACCACCATCATATGCAACAGTGGCCCTTTTGCTATTCGATAATTGCATCAACATCAACATGGATGGTAGTGGTTGCCATGAGATCTATAGTAAAGATGGTGGCCATCTCGTTGTTGACTCATTGGGCAAATCGCTCAAACTAAAGCTAAGGTTGTGGGAACTCTTATCATTGCCTCCACTGCCATGTCAATTATGGCATGTGCATAAAAAAGGGGAGATAGGGGCTCATCAGAGGAGTTCTATTTGTTACAATTATCGTCGATCGGGAAAGAAAGCTCTAGAAGGCTAATAGGCAAGCAATCATCCAACTTCCGACGAATGTATTTGACCACGATAGAAAAATATGGGTCATGGAATTCAACGTCGACTATGTTGTCATATTCATTATCGACATAGTTACCGAACAACCCTTACCTTTCGTTGTCGCTTTTTTCCTCTACAATAGATACCTACGATCCCCTATTTGACATTAAACTTCTGCAGCACAATAAATCTACGGTCTCCATAATTTTAATATAATAAATCTAAAATCATATGTGCAAAAATACTAGACAAAATTTATTTATAATAAGTTCAGCTAACTTTATAATAGAAGGTTCACTTAAAATCATCCTTTATTTCCCAACATGGCTGGAAATAATAGAAGGTTGAATTCTCTGCAAATTTTAGCCAAATTGCTTGGACCCGCTTTAGATATTGACATTTCTATCCAAATCTGTTCAATCAATAAAAGAGACCCAATTCCATTGGGTAATAAATCCGCATGACGAAGGGAAGAAACTGCCATCTACAAGTTGTAGTGCCAAAGAACCTCACTTTAAAGGGTCATCAGGAATCAGACGTATAAACCAAAAAAACAGGTTGCATACTAATGGAGCTGTCAGCACTGCACACAAAGAGTAAGAAGTTTTCATGAAATTACCCTGCTTTTGAGATAATTCCTTGAAGATAGTTTGCTTTCCACATGGGCCCATAACTTTTCGAAAAGATATTGACATCCAAGCTCTCAAGATTTGGAGAAATTAGTTATAATTTTGATCTTCTCATTGATCAAAATAGATGTTTGGCAAAACAACTATGCTTTCACCTGCTACTTGATCCCCCATATAGATGTGTCTGCAAAAAGTTCCTCTTTGGAGGGCAAAACATGCAAAAATTTATCTGACCAGGTAGCTAATCATAACTTCCTGATCGTCTACCTAAGTATTCTGCAAGCAATTTACAGTACACATACCCAACAACAAGAGTAAAACTTTACCGCAAGAAACTGATCTGGCTCAGCACCTGCTGGTTGGCGAAAAATACATAGCGCCACTTGAACAGTGACCAGCTAGGTCTGCACGCTTGCAGCTCCATGACGCCTCTCTTTCCTGTATCGAGATTGATCTGGATCAAATCCACCTTCCTCTGCACCATATACAGCCCAGGAAGGCGTACGAGCCATGTAGTCTTCTGTCTTGAATGACTTTCCTGAAGCCACCTGTTGCCAATTTCAGTAAACTTGTATTAGTAAATCACTGAACCTTACAAGGGATACTACAGGAGCAAGACTTCAAGAAAATTACCAGCTCATGAAATCGTTCATAATCTATCCATGTGTACCATTCACCCTTTATCTTGAACTTATCCACCTTTGCTAGGAGGACGCAGCAAGAATGAGCATGCTCACAGGCGACCTCATATTCACCACTGCTTTTCATTGCCAAAGCCTCTGAAAAGGCTTTAACATCAGAATGCCAAGGAACATTGTCCATTGTCAGCTTTGATGTGGCAGAACTGTGATGAGCAAAAAGAAGCACTTAGTACCTTTGGAAATGCAGTTCTATGCTGGAAATAAACCACACAAGCAACTCACGTGCCACAATACGTCACGCCTTTGATTTCAACTAGATCAGGCTTTCCAATACCAAGCAAGTTTGCATATGCCTCTACATCTTCTGCATTCCACCCTTTAACCAAAGTTAATCGGTAAACTGTTCGTTGTTCCTTGTCTTGCAGAGCTTTTAGTGAATCCTGATAATATTTAATCAAATACCACATCAAAAATTGCATTTTTCCAAACTGTTCTCATAACCATAAATTGAAAGGAACCAAATGAATACTTGGGATTGTCTGATTTCAGAACTGGATAAAAAGTTATCTTGTAACGAGCAAAACAAACACAGTGGTCGATTTATATGATGCGACCAAAAATCCTATTTTAGCTAAATGATCGAGTAATTTATCCTCTATAGATAGATATCTGGGTGACGAGAAAATTAAGGTGATTTTTTCTATTCTCAATCCAAAAAAGAAAGTATATACTATTAGCTTATAGTTCATTTATTCCCTTCGATGTTTATGCTTGTACTGAACAACCTCTTATGATATCCAACAAAAGGCAAAATGAATGTGAAGAAAATACATTACGACTTGGTGAAATCCCCCTCCTACTCTGACAAGGTACTGACCATTGATATAGTCATGCAATTTCTGTAAGAAAACTCCCAATATAGAAGTCCATAAGGCATCAAAAGTTAAATAAAAAGAGGAGATCATGCATAAGCAGGCAATTGTTCATAATTAAATAGTCCACTGTCCATATAAAATTGTCAGCAAAGAAAATGCAAGTGCTAATAAGCACTTGTATTTTTATGTTTTGTTTTTTTTGTTTTTTGTTTTCTTTGCATGATGAATGCACAAAAGTCAATATTTTAGTATAAATGACTTTTTCTTACTTCTGTAATATTATAAATATTGATCTTTTTTTGTCAATCCATATCATCCAATTTGATCCAAACAATCTTTATTCCAAACCCCTAGGACCAATCTCACCTGTTCAAATCTTAATTTGTCAACTAGTGCTTGTTACATGGGCACTTATTTTGACCAGATTATTTCACATATGCCTGAATCAAAAGAATGAAAAAGAGCTAACAGAAGATTCTCCACACAAATACACTGCATGCTAAGCACTTTAGAGAAGCGTAATGCCAAATGCTATGTTCAATTTTTCAGATATTCACCAGAAAGCGCTCCCAGAAATCACCAAAGAGTGGTCTATCAATTGCCTTTAGACTGTCTTTTGTAGCTGCATCTACACTGACATATAGCTGCAACCATATTAATAGCCATTCAACTTCAGCTTTAGCAGACTAAATTCAATCTTCATAAACATAATAAAGAACAATGTATAATTAAGAAGGCAGAAGGTAACCTGTGTTATGGGTTTCAACATTTTTATCCTGTCAGGAAATTGAGCATTTGTAACAAGGAAAGTAGATATATGTCTCCTATGTAACTCATCAACAAGTGTATTAATCTCCGGATACATTATTGGTTCACCAACAAGAGACAAGGCACAATGTCTAGGAGAGAGACCTTCTGACAAGCGTTCTGGCTTTACTCCTGCATTAAGAAGAATAACATCATCTCATTAGTTTAATTCAGGCCTCTCAAAATTATAAGCATTAGAGGTTTTAACAGGAAGCCAAAATAACAACCAATGCTACCACAAAAGAATCAAGAGTGCAAAGCTATGCAGTACAAGGCATCATATTACGCACAAAGTTCTAGATTATAAGAAGAAACAAGGAATTTGTGGTTCTTGTATTAGGGAAGATAGGAGAATTCAAACGACTCTTTTCTCTTCCCCTAATATGCATAGGACATGAGGCTCTAATAAAATAAAGGGACTCATGAATTTACAGAAGTTTGAACCACAACATATATATATACATATATATATATACACATATAAATATATATATATACACACATATAATATATATATATACACACATATAATATATATATATATATATATATATATATATATATATATATATAAAACAGAAATGTACAAGATGCTATCAGGGTACAATTTCAGATTAATATAATAATCAAGAGACTTCATATAGTACAGACCTAGAAAACTTAAAAGTACATAACATGGACATGGATCTGAAAAATCAAGAAACTATTCACACATATTGTACAAAGTGCAAACCATTACCTTACATATGTGAATTACAAAAATGGAACACCAGGCTACCAGTGATTCATGACTGATCTAAAATCTACCATCATTAGAACAATACAGAAGCAAGACACTCACCTGGAACACCTTTCATTTGCTTAATCATTTTAGTGTGCTCATCGATGGCAACATCTACAATTTCTAGAGGATTGTCCATCTTCCACCGCCAGCTCTTCCCAACAGGGTTTGTGTGATGCCTCCAACAGAAAACACATTTATTTGCACAAGCCAAACTAGGTGTTGCTTCCATACACCTGCTCAAATAAGAAATTAGAATGGCTTTACTCAGTTCAGCATGAGATGGAGCAATTGTCACAAGAAATATGCAGAAAATACTTATCCATGTCATCATATAAGCCACAATAAGAAATAATGACAACAATAACATTTTTATTTCATAGGTTTTTGTCTAGGGCAACAAAGGCCTACATCTCTATAGTTCCTTAAGGCTAATTGCTACTAGAGATTATTCTTCTATACCAATCATGTGGTTTTTGCTGGGTTCAAGATATGTATAAAAGCTTGACCGCATGTGAAAAATAACCCATAGTAAATATAATTTGGATGTCATATCACCAAAACATTTCAGCTATCTTACATCTATTACTCCAACGTAATAAGCACATGAAGACAAATGGCATATCCATTGGAAATTCCACTGCTGATGTTTTCAGTAAACCCCTTAACAAAACTATACTTTGACCTTCAAACTCTAACTAGTACATGAAGACAAATGGCATTACATGTTTTCAGTAAGAAGAGAGTTTGAAGAACCTCCAAACGCTGATTAGTACATGCTGAAGAGTGATGAACATCTCAAAATAAAAATAAAAAGTTCTTTCAGTTGATATTGTATGCTTACATACTTTTTAAGAGAAGTGGTAACTAGAAGCAAGGTTCAAAATGGCATTACAATCACCAGATCAGGAAATAAGAAAAGAACAAGAACCTAGCAGATGTACTAGTAACAACAAACCAAAACAGAGAAATATTAATTGTTTTACCTGTGACTCTCTATGCCATAAAATGAGTGCTTGTAACAACCCCCACGACCTCGGAGCTGTGACTTTGTCCACCTACATAGTTTTACTCCACTGTGTGAACCAATAATTTTATATCCCTGCAACATTGAAGTAATTGGCAAAAGAGATGTTATATAGTTAATTTGGAAACTTTTTTGATATCTGAGAGATAGTAAAGCAAAAAAAAAAAAAAACAGTTCTCGAAATGCCAGAAGAACCTAGTACTAATAGATAATTCTACACGAAGTACATGATAAATTGTAAGCCTTTGAGTTCTGTTCCATAATATTTTGATGTTCACCTCACTACATGTAGAGAAAGGCAATCCTTTATGACATTTATTTTATGTAAACATGTCAAATTGGCAAATAAAAAAGATGAATCTATGTTGTAAACAAAATACTCTAGTACCCAGCATAAGAAAGGTCTCTCCACAGTTGATCTGGAATGCTTATTACCATACCAGCGCAGGAGATAGAAAAAAAAGAACACAATTTTCAGGAGAGCCTAGAACAACACAGTGTACCTGCTTCTCCAAGTTTACCCTAATAACTGGTGTAACCATATCTTTCACACCATTCTCCCAACCGTTCGTTAAAGCAACAGATGGTCTCCTCGAAGGAGCTTTTCCAGCAATGTCCTCCATATCCACGACAACCGGTTCCAGGACTTCCTCCTCTACCTCTTCGTCAGATTCATCAAAACCAACGCTCTCCACCATAGAACCGGAATGTCCCGACTCTTTTTTCAAATCCTCTCCCTTCAGTAATGCAACAATCCGTCGACTCCATACTTCGAACACCTCATCGACATCCCCAGAATCCACATCCCCTTCCCACACCGGCGCCATTTCCGAGGCCCCGAGCGCCCTCATCCACTTCGAGAAGTCCTTGGCCGCAGCATTGAAACTATCGCCGTACGACTTCGACCCGACGCCGAACACCGCGAACCGGCACTTGGCCAGGAGCAGCGACCCGACCCTGAAGTCCGCGGCGCTCTCGGCGAGCCACCGGGCGAGGAACTGGGCGTCGGCCGGCGGCCGCCCCTCCTCCCAGGTGGAGGCCACGATCAGGACGAGGGCCTCCTTGGGGAGGTCCTCCGGCTCGTAGTGCCTCGGGTCGACGAGATCGAAGGCGAGGCCGTGGGAGCGGAGGCAGTCGGAGAGGCGGCCAGCGAGAGACCTGGACGTGCCGGTGGCGGAGGCGTAGATGATTTTTCCCCTAGGGCTAGGTTTTGGGGTATTCATGGAGGAGTAGGGGGAGAGAAGGACGCGGAGACGGCGGCGGGACTTCCAGAGGAAGAAGACGGAGGTGGCGGAGAGGAGGGCGACGAGAGCGAGTCGAGAAGACGAAAGGGGTGGATCAAGGGGTGTTTTGGCCATTTTGGCCGCCCTTCGGCGGTTGATCTCGGTGGTGATCTCTCGCCGCCGCGAGACGGTGTCTTCCCAAAGGAGGTCTGCGAGGAAGCAACGAGTTCAAAGAACGAACAAGCTAATGGCAAAAAGGCCTGGTCGGGTTGGAGCAGACCTATTAATGGATCGAATGTTTTGGCCCTATAGGGTTAGTCTAAGATCCGATCCACTCATACCCGGTGCAGCAATACGCTACTTCTGTCATCCCAAAAACTCCACAGGGTGTGGATCTTGGTTTAGATCCATAAGTTTATTGGACCCAATATTAAATCCGACCCGATACAAATGCATCAAAGAGAACGGAAAAGCCGTATCTGATGATCTCGCAGACAGACGGTTGTCATCGCATCAGGGGACACGGAAACATTTAACGCCGTTTCCGGAGGTGACCGGCACGGAGCGTTACATTCCGGTGACCGCTTCCATTCCTACCACATTGGATCGAACTGCCCCACGCTCACTCCGTGTTCGGCTCTCTTCTTCCCTCTCGATTCCGTCCCATGGCGGCGGGGATCCTACCACGGCAAGCGCTTCAGGCTCTTCGGGCGAGGCAATCTGTATGATCTCATGTCTTTCCTCTTCTCTGCCACCAGAATTCTTCCGTATTCGTCTCCAGCGATTATTGTTGAGATCTTAGATTCAAATTATTTTAACCTCGTCAAGGATTTATTTTGTTGCAGGAGAAATAAACCCTTGCTTTCTTGTCGTCTTCTTGATGTTATAGGTTTTGGATCAATCTATTACGGGCAATCATTATTCTAAGAATATATGATATGGAATTTTGGTATATCATGAAATTAATTGCAAATTTAATAAGAAACCCTAATTTTTTTGGACTCCTTGGCGGAGAGTAATTTGTGTCGGACATCTACAGATAATAGAGAAGCGCCTGAGGTGGATGAAGGTAAGACGGTGCACCCAGTTACGTTAGCACAAAGTCTACAGATTTTGACTTTGCTTGTTTTATTCAAGTCAAAATCAATTAGAATCAGTTGTATGCCCTTTTGGTCTCAAAAAATCATCCATGCCAGATTAGAGTAAAGACTCCTATAACAGTAAGATTATAGGACAAGATTTCTTTTTTTGGAAGGGAATTAGTTTTCTCACAGAATTTACTTATTAAATCTAAATTTTAATTTTTTATTAACTTTTCTAAACCAAGGTATACCTAAAAGAGGATTTTCTTAAGACCAATATAAATCAAAATATCCTAAATTAAAAAAGGGAGAGAGGGTCAGAAAAAATAAACTTTTAATTATGAGCTAGAGCTACAACTCAGGCTAAATTTGAATTTGTCCTACATTGTGTCTTATGTTAACAAACCATTTTTTCAATGATGCTATTGTATGATCGTAGAACTATTGTCTACTCTTGGTGTATGAAGACTTTCTTATAATCATCTCAATGATAATGTAGAGAAGGATGGAAATCCAGTTTTTAGTGTAAGAACAAGATCCTGAACATATACAGGAACATCTATATAGATTTTTTCTTGACAAGATTTGTTTATGCTGTGGAGTTGGATGTGTATACGAACCTGACAATCTGATGGAGTAGGCTACAACCTCCAGTATTAAGTTTGTTGGCTGCCTGGCCCTTGGTATGGTAGCTGATTTTGAAACACGGTTCTTCAGTGATCTAGAATTTTGGATTGACAGCTACTTACAGGATTCTGTATGAATGTAGAGCATGGAACTGAACTTCAGACATTTAATATAGGCATCTCAAATCATTGGCAGTTAACAAATGCTTATTGTGATGCTTAAGAAAGCCTTTTGACTGAAGTTCTTCTGATTAGTCTTTAGAAAACCTGTAACATGATTTCAATTACCTTAGGGTTTTTTTGGTTATGTAACCAAAGATGGCACTGTATCCAAATTAGATAAATTTCTAATGCAAAGGTGACATCTCCTTTTCCCCAATTGATTCAGAAGATGGTAGGGTAGACTATGTAATTTTTTAGAATAACCAAATCTGGAGTTGAATTTGGATGACTTTGATACTTTTTTTGGTTTGCAGTGATAATCTTGACTGATTGTTAGTATTTTATGTGTTGATGCCATGATTATTTAAAAATGAATGAAATTTTACTCTCTCTGACCTGTTAGCAATCTTCATTATTTATTCTTCTTGTGTTTTTTTTACATTCAATGTCTATCCAAATACTTAATTGAAGGCTACAAAGTTCATTTGTCTACTTCCACCGTAGCCTTGCCTCTTATTGTTTTATTGGTTTAGCTGTAAATTATGTACTTGACTCACTCAAGTTGATTGGATTGCAATAGATAGTTCTCTGTGGTAGGGAGGAAAACAATTTTTTGTCTATTAAAATTTTTAATATAATTACAGGTCCAAGCTGGTCAAGCTTCATTGGTGCTGAGAAATCAGTGGCAAGCATTCAGTTCACACCCAGCATCTTCAAAATTTAAAGGTTTGTTCAATTGTGTTGGTAAAATAATTGCTTTAAGATAGTTACAGCTTTCTTATATGGCCAAATGCACATTGTCTGATTAGACAATGGTGATGGCAGGTATCTGAGTGAGCATTATTGTAATAGCACTAGTGAACCTGATTAGTGATGGTGGTTTTAAGCTTCATATATAGCTAAATTTACCAAATACAGCAGTGTATTCTCTGATTTGAATGATGATGATGAATAATATCAAGGTGATTGAATGTCATATTATGAGTGAGCTTGATTCTTCTGTGCTCTGTATATCTATCAAGGGCAAATTTGAAACAATCTGGACCAAATAAGTTCTTTAATATTCATTCCAAATGATATGCATGTGAGTGCTACTATCATCTAAAACATTTCTTCCCATAGTGTGCAAAATTTGTTTAGAAAACTTCTGTGAATATACTTGGCAATTACCTGCTAGCTATATTGTCATTATCCTGTTCAAGTATCAAGTCGACAGGAAACATGAATGTCATGCAAGATAACTCGCATAACAGTCAGAAGAATAGTGGATCATTGAAGCCTTGTTTGATCCTAGGTCTTACATTGACTAAAATGACTTTTGTATCTGCTTTTGCAACTTAGTTATCTGCATTTTGTTGTTTTTATTATAACTGAAAAGGTTCATGTTTGTGCTCTGAATATGGCAGCAAGTTCAGTTTATCTGGTTGATTTTTGTTATATAGTCATTTTGATATGCTTATTGCACAGCTTAATCATTCATGTAAAATGGCATTTACCATAACTAAAAAAATAACCCAGTTTGTCTTACCTGGCAAATCTACAAGTTGTTCAAATTTTGTAGTTAATTTCTCTGTTTTTAAATCAGTTCTGATTCGCAATACCGTACCGTACCGTACCGGTATTTCGATCTGGGCTTGGTACCGGTATGGTACGGTGTACCGAGTACTGTAGCGCTGCTACAGTGCTACAGTGTACTCGGATCGGGAGAAAGAGAAGCTTGCTAAGGAGATTGCCAAGGAGAGTGGAGTGCCGGTAACCAACTGAGATTTTTTTCCTTTGAAACTTGAACGCACCTTTGGTTTATATCCTCCTCACTTTAGGCACCTGATTGCAGTATTTGAACAGAGTATAAATACACTGTTTCTGACTGAGATGGTGCATGGTTTGATGCTGACATTAAAGTACTTCTTTGAGAGGAAAGTTACAGTAAGTCATATCTGCTGATGCTTGTTATTCACCTCAAAGGGTTATATCTTTATATCTGCTGTGATTTTAGATCTTATTATGCTCCTCTGCTTGCCACAGATAAATTACCCTTTTGAGAAGGGTCCTTTGAGCCCCTGCTTTCGAGGAGAGCATGCTCTCCGTCGTTATCCTACCGGTGAGGAGCGGTGTATTGCTTGCAAGCTTTGTGAAGCAGTATGTTTCTAGGTGTCATACATCTTGGATAGGAATAGATCTTTTAGTATGGTGTCCACTTGAGATGGCACTAAAATTTGGTAATTGGAGCTGTCGTTTGTAAGCATTAGCAAGAATGTCCTTTCCTGCATCACACAAAAAAACTACAATGACACATTTGACGAGAATGTTGCATGTTCAGATATGCCCAGCGCAAGCAATCACAATAGAGGCGGAAGAAGGAGAGGATGGCAGTCGTCGGACTACAAGGTAGTCAGTTCTATGTTTTCTGTATGCTGATTTGACCTTGGGTTGTCTCCGGGATTAACCTTGCATTTGTGACGTCGGATGTCATCTACTAGGTATGATATTGATATGGCAAAGTGCATTTACTGCGGGTTCTGCCAGGAGTCATGTCCTGTAGATGCCATTGTTGAAGGTCCTAACTTTGAGTTTGCCACTGAGACTCATGAGGTGTGTTACTGTTCTCAATCGAGGTGGCGATGCTACTTCTTTATAGGTCGTCGCTCGTCGCTGCTGACTTGTAATTGTCATTCTCTTCTTCGCTTGAACCTTGCAGGAGTTGTTGTATGATAAGGAGAAACTGCTAGAAAATGGAGATCGCCTTGAAAATTCTGCAACGACGTCTGTAGCTTGAAAATAATGATCTCCATGTCTGCTTTCTTTAATCGTTTCTTCATTAAGATGTATGTCTGAGATAACATCGCCGAATGCATGGGGACTTGGAAATGTTTACACATCCTTTCTAACATGCCCTTGTCTCGAAAGAATGTATCGAGACATGCAATGCTCCCTGGTGTTGAAATTGAATATAAATCTCTTCTTTTTTTTCTTTTCAATGTGTAGAAATTGCACACTTATGGCTCAACAGGGCTCAGACTAAAAATGTCATATGACCATTACGCCATACCAATTCGTCGATGGAATTCCGCACGAGTCCATAGCAGCCGTTGGGACCCGTGTGGGGCCCAGACGAGGCGAGAGACCTCGGCGCCCACGCGGGTCGAGGTGGGCGGACGAGTTCACTCAGCGCAGCCCAACATCTCTCATGGGCCCCCACGGGCTGGGCGGCCCGGGTGCCCGCCTGATGTAACCCAGCCAGGTTGAGTCGAACAAAATAGGTATTTGTTATCTGGTTCAGTTGAACCGGTTATAATCCCTTTTCCCCACCCGCGAGCTGTGGCCCTAACGCAGAAATCCCTCTTTCCCCCTTCGTTTCTGCACGGCGGCGGAGTTCCTCACGGCAGCAGCGGCTGCGGCTTCTTCCCCTCCTTACCGGTATATCTCTCTCTTTCTCCTCTTCCATCCTACCTCTGCCCCGTTCACTGTAGCCACCCGTCTCCCCTCCCTCCGGGCCTTTCGCCAATCCATCTTCCCCCTCTTCCCCTGCCTTTTCCTCGTTCACCGCTGCCGTCTTCCCCTCCCTATTCCCCGTTCACCTCTGCCTTCTTTGCTGTTTATCAATTGTTATGGTTATGTTTCAATTTTTAGATAAATCATATTTGATTATTTTTGTCTAAGTTTGTGACAACTGCTGCCTGCTTTTCTGTTTAGTTTGCGAGAACAGAAGCTGCCTTCTAGGTTTAGTTGACCTGGGAGCACTCAAGTGGGGCTTGAACAGCCCTGTTTATATTAATTAACAGCAGCTGTTTATTTTTGTTAACCATGATATATAATTTTTAAATTATAATACTTGGGATCACCTCGCTTCACTCGGGGCCTCGGGTATTTTGGGACTGTGCGTATTTTGTTGCCTAGTGCTTTTGACTACACTGGTTATGAGCTGTTGTGATTCTGTGTTATATTAATCTAGGTCTAAGTGGTGTTAGGCTATAGTTTGACAACTGTATACGGTACAAATTTGATTTATCTTATGCTTCTTTTGGTGTTATTTGATGAACTTCCATCTCCAATGCCTGTCCCATGGAGCATTTGGGGTCTCCTCTTGATATAGAATTCTATGGGAGTACATATTTAAAAAAAAAAAAAAGTTCTCTTGTTCTTTTTACTGTGTTGGCCCAGAAAGGATTGATTCTTGATGCAGTTTATAAACAAACACACTGATGATTGGAGAAAAGGGGAAGACATCTGCTGTGAACTTTGACTCTTTTGTTTTGCTTTTTGCTTTCTTTGAATTGCTTAGGTGATTTTGCTTGCATGAGAATCAAACCATTGACACATTTAAGAATTTCTCTCTTCAACCTCTAAGTCTCTGCTGCTTATTCTCTCCCCTTTCCATTATCTGGACAGTGTTAAGCTAGGTAGTTATGTCACTTTGATTCTCGCCGTTTTTGTTTCTTTTTCCTAACATGTAACCCTTGATGGAGCATGAATTTTCCTATTTATCTAGTGAATTGCCAAATTATACTTTTTTCACGAGTTCTTATTTATGCAATTTCACATGTATAAGGGGGTCATATAGTCTTTGTTTTTTTATCAGAATGCCAGAAAATAAATCAGTGATCGGGCTTGTGTGGGCTCCTAAGGTGCCTCCTTTATTTGGAGTAAAAAACAGCTCAGAGAAGTTGCACGATCAAACAAAAGATCCTGTTTTGACACCTGGCACTGAGCTTGTGGATGGCTTATATGTACCTCCTAGGGATCCTCGAAAGATGAATAAGTTGCTGAAGAAAAATATGAAAGATACAGCTGGTAGAAGTTGGTAAGCAGATACTAAACTCTAGGATGTTTCAAGTTTTAGTTTCTCTAACAAATTGCTTTCTTATAGGTTTGATATGCCTGCTCTTACCATTACCCCTGAGATAAAGAAAGATCTTGAGATTCTGAAGGTATGCTACTGGTTTCATTCTGTTTTCCCAGTTTTTAACAGAATCATGGATGTCTTTGCCAGTGGTTCTTCTTTTGTAGTTGTTTATTTCTGTATATTGCAACCTTAAAAGCCGACAATATTATATACTATGAAGATTTTAACTTTTCTTTTTGGTTTATTTGGTTCCAACTTTTGAGCAGACTATGATTTGTTTCAGAGCTCTTGCCACTGATTCTTGAGGTAGTGTTGATGTAATTGATCCTGCATCGTACTGCTAGAATAAGTTTATGCTTGATTACAACATGTAATCATTTTGTTTTGGTAACACTATACACTTTTTAAGATGACATTTGTTTCATTTTAAGTGGCTATTTTTTTCTCCTTCGGCAGTGAAAGTGGTTCGGACTGAATCCTTTTTTTTTTTTACCTGATTGGAGTTGAACAGTTTAACATGAATGTTTGATTATGATATTTTTATACCTATTCCAAAAAATTAGCTATAGAAAATCTTGTAGATCATGTGTACGAGCCTTGCCATTGTGGTATTGTTGCTCTTTCTCAACCTCATCAAAAGATTGGGTCATGGAAACAACCTCCTTGTTTGCAAGGGCAACAGTGTGTAGTTGACACTCTCTAAATCCCACATTGGTAATAGTTATTTATTTAAATATTTGTTTTATTTTTATCCAGTTATCACCCTCTGATTTGGATGGAACTTAAATCATGTAGCCCAAAATGCTCTAGTCCAATTTACTAATAAGCCTTATATACACCGAAGGAGCCCCTCATTTTCTCTCACCAAGGAGCTAACTAGTGTATAACAATAATTCCTTATCTATTACAAAATTTTCTTCTTTGAAGGATATAATTTATAAGCTTGAGAAGACTCTGCTTCAATTATTTCATTTGTTGGTGATATCTCATGTTTGTGCAATATGTAACATCTATGTCCACCTTGCATCTGCTTCTAGCATCTATCAATTACACAACTGATTCGTATTTGCATCTATTCGAACTAACATGGTTATAAAATTTCATAACAAAATAATATCTATATCAAAATTTGTATCCACAGACTATAATTATTGATTTGATATGGTTTTCAGTAAAATGTGTTCATAGTCCTGTTTCTGTTCTCCACAAGTTCTCGGCATATATATAGAAAGTGATCTACATTTTCATCTGCTTTACCTTTTATGGGCCTTGACATTTTTATGTCTCTTCCAGTTGAGACACGTTATAGATCCGAAAAGGCATTTCAAGAAAGGAGACAATTCCAAGGCACTCCCAAAGTACTTTCAGGCAAGTTGCTTCCTTCTCTGTCACTGCTGGGATTACCTATTGGATGATTGCAGACATGGTGTCTTTACAAATGGACTGACATGTTTGTTTAATGTTTGTTCAGGTAGGAACTGTTATTGAACCTGCATCTGAGTTCTTCTCAGGTAGACTGACGAAGAAAGAGAGGAAGACAACGTTGGCTGATGAACTGTTACATGATGATGCCCTTAAGGCTTATAGGTAAGAAAAGAAAATTCCTATAATATTCATCGAATAGGGGCGACAGTTTGGCATTTATGATGTCATATTGTGATCAGAGTACTGGGCTTGATGGATATGACAAGTTAAACCGATCTGTTTTGTTTACCATCTCTCTGGTTGTCTAGTGTGTCAGTCAAATGTTCAAAATAATGATAACCCTGTAAATGCTTCATTTGCTCTGATCTAGAATTATTACTAACGCATGATTTCTATTGTTTCTCAGAAAAAGAAAGATCCAAGAGATCCAGGAGTCCCACCAACCTGGTGGTGTTGAGAAGTGGAAGAACAAGGGACGTCAAACATGGAAACGGGCCAAACAAAGAAGGAAATGAATTTTCCATGTTATGGGAGGGAGGCTGATCTGCAAATATAAACAGGCACTGCAGATACCCTGAGATGGATAGAAGAAAGATGAGTTGAGTGCCATTAGCTTAAGCCAAAACCATTGTGAAAATGAATGTCATGTTGCGAATGCCCTCCAATACATTGGCATTTTATGTTTTTCTTTGGTTGGTAGGTGTGTCAAACATCCATGACTATGTGCCTTAGAATTTGGCTTACTGAGTTTTGGAGACCTCCAAATTAGGCTTTTGGTCTATTCTTATTTAATTCAATCCTGTATCAACAGTGAATTGTCATGAACTGCCCTTTTCAGACTTCTGTTCCGTCGTGTTGATAAACGTGAATGTTCTTAAAACTATTGAACTGTCATCTATTTTTGCTGCATGTTTGAACAAAGAATAAAAAGCTGTCATCTTGGGTTTTAGCATATTAGTCTCTTTAGTATATTGTGTTTGCAGAGAAGTATCATGTTGTCAGCGTTCATCGTGGACATAATGTAACATCTTATTTTTAGTTTTATTTATATTTTATATGCATGATTAAAATATGATTGTTATCTTTTTATTATTGTTATCGATAAAAGTGTAATAGAAAATAGATAATTTTAAAAATAAAATATATTAAGACACCTAAATATAATTATAATATCTAACCAAAGGAAAATATAATATTTTTTAAATTTATATACATAAAATGTTCATAGGTTATTATTTATATCTATATTGTTCATAGGTCATTTCTTTATTCAATCATTTTCGATCGAGTATTAATATCTTTATCTATAAAATAGAAGTATTAGTATAAGCTTTCCTAGTTTTATTTATGGGAGCGTTTATGATGTCATGTATATAATATTTAAAATATATTAACATAAAATATTTAATGATAGATATTTCATTTTATGATTTTTTTAATAATCATAATCTTATATGCACAATAAAAAGATAAAAATTTATATCAAAATAATTTAAAATACTTATGTATACATGCATGCAACATAGCAAATTCATGAACTTCTACTGTGTATATCTTAACATGCATATATACTCTTGCATCACATATCATCGTAATACATATATGCGCTCTCACACCGTATGTCATAATACATATATATATATACTTCAACATCGTATGTCATAATACATATATATATATACTTCAACATCGTATGTCATAATACACAAGTATATTGCACATCGTAATAAATTTGTATATTCCTACACCACATGTCTATCATATATAAATGTATACAAAATAATTAAAAAAATCAGCCTATAATCTATAAAACTGAAACCTTAGGTATAGCGAGAGAAGAATTGAGTTATCTCAATCTTTTTTAGAACTAATGTTTTCTAACCTCTATGAGAAAAGTTGAAAGAATGACTGAAAAATAATAGAAATGATCATGTGTTATCAGGTTGGTAAAAAAGATGATATCAAAATAAGGTAGAGATACTTAAGAGATTACCTTGAGGTCTATGGTCCCAATCGTCTCATTTTATATTTTTTTACTAATATAATTATAATATTATAATTTGGTTTGACGATATATATTTTTTGTCTAAACTCATACTTTAATCTTACTTATGTATCTCAATATTTAGTATAACACTTCTTTTTTTATTTGCTTATTTATTTTTTTTTTATTGTTTTATCCATGCCTAAGTAACTTATGATTATTCACATATATAATATTTAAAACTCAAACTTGCTTACGTTAATTATGATCAAACTCATTCAAACCTTGAGATTAATTTAAGATCGATTAAAATTTAACCGTCACTTCTAATCACAATATACATACTTATTATCATAACTTAATCTCATATTTAAGTTTGATAACATATTTTTGATTTGTTGTGCTGTGTTTAAAGTAAACATTAATGTTTATGCATTTTCAACTAACATTTCTTGGAATACTAATAATAATATTTTTAAAAAGTACATACTTCAATCTTAAAAATAAAAAATATGAGTATGTTATTTATCATCTTTATGAAGTATATACATTACAAATTATATCACTAAATGAGAATAATATATACATATTATTTATGTTCTTATCGACATACTAGTTATAGTTCAATACGTGTGAGATTCAGATATTATATATAATCATAAAGATATAAAAAATTAAAATATGAAGATGATATGAGTAAAGGATAAAATTATATGTTATTCAAGAAAGCGATAAAGCAATAATAAGATATTGTGAAATATGAATACAAAGTTCATACAAGATGGTAAGGTTATTTTAGACATTCGAACAAACAATATAGCAGTGTGAGTTTGGGACTTCGAAAAATGCAATTAATGATACAAAATCATGATAAAATAAAAAATTGTTATGCACGCGCCAGGTAGGGGTCGAACCTACGACTTTCTGCTTAGGAAACAGACGCTCTATCCACTGAGCTACAGGCGCTATTGCTTTTATACTAAAAGCTAATAATATATATGTATTTCCACAGATATATATGATAGTAAGTAACATGGACAGCATCTATTTCCACATATTTTTCTTTGTATGCCCCTCATAAATATAACGGTACTATGTCGTTATTATTTATGTCAGTGAATTTAATGAGTGTAAGTTTAGCAAGCAAATGGTGCAAAAGATTAACACCATATTTTCACATCAGTTCTTTTGGTTCCCCCCACCTCTATTCTTTGTTCCATATTGATCTTCTTATGATCTCACATTTCCTAGGGTTAATTCTTCCTTGGCTTTATGGATTTGCAGCCTCAAGCTACATTCTTGAGACGCTATAGATGGTAGAAGCCACTGTTGTGTCATCTAAACAGGGGTTTCTCCAACAAATTGAAAGAAAGTTACCACCTCCGAAGGAGGGATTTCTCGCCAACCTCGATTCCCTTGGGGGACATCAAGAAAAGAGATCAAGAAAGGAGGAGGGTACCATTGGACGGAAGGGCGCAGGAGTCTCTGAACAGCGGAACCCTGGGACGATCTCCTCGGTGATGGCGGTTTCACCGACCAGGTGGCGCCTTTGGAGAGACCGGAGCGGGAAAGGTAGGAGGAGGCAGCAGGCGACGACCGCCCCCGTCGCCGGTAACATTTCTCTTCCTTTAATCGCATCTCTCAATCCATAACCATAATCATAACCATCAATGGTAAAATAAGAAGAAAATAATATATAATAAATATAATATAAAGCTAAACAATATTCATCAATTGGTCCCATGGTCTAGTGGTTAGGACATTGGACTCTGAATCCAGTAACCCGAGTTCAAATCTCGGTGGGACCTACTATTCTCTCTTTTTTTGTAGTTTTATTATTTGAATATGAAAATTATGATCCATTTCTCTAACGAATTGGTCCCATAGTCTAGTGGTTAGGACATTGGACTCTGAATCCAGTAACCCGAGTTCAAATCTCGGTGGGACCTACTTTTCTCTCTTTTTTGTAGTTTTATTATTTGAATATGAAATTTATGATCCATTTCTATAACGAATTGGTCCCATAGTCTAGTGGTTAGGACATTGGACTCTGAATCCAGTAACCCGAGTTCAAATCTCGGTGGGACCTACTTTTCTCTCTTTTTTTGTTGTTTTATTGTTTGAATATGAAAATTATGATCCATTTCTATAATGAATTGGTCCCATAGTCTAGTGGTTAGGACATTGGACTCTGAATCCAGTAGCCCGAGTTCAAATCTCGGTGGGACCTACTTTTCTCTCTTTTTTTGTAATTTTATTATTTAAACATGAAAATTTTGATCCATTTCTCTAACGAATTGGTCCCATAGTCTAGTGGTTAGGACATTGGACTCTGAATCCAGTAACCCGAGTTCAAATCTCGGTGGGACCTAATATTTAATTGCTTTTTGGGTCATTTTTTTTTATGCAATTTACTTTACCATTCATAGATTTTTTCCCGACATATTTTTGGGTCAATTTTTATGCAATTTCCCATCCATAGATTTGCCTTAGTCCGTGAATCCACTATTAATGAGTTAACTATTCTATTAGACTGTATTGCAACACTAAATCTTTACCAAACCAATTAATAATGCACTTTGAATTCCAAACATAAGGGATGAAATGATTCGAATATTTTACGCGAGCCCAATCTTCGTATTATTAATTCGATTTTTGATTTTTTATTAAACGTATTATCTACCCGATCAATTTCATCCCGGTCCATCGACCCGAAAATTAACCCAAGACCGGTCCAGACGACGTTCAATTTGTGGCAGCGACGAAAGGGGTACGAAAGCCGCGTGGGTCCCCCGAGGAAAGCTGGTCGGTGGTCCCCGGCGAGCGTACCAACCCCACCTTTAATCTCTTTGGAGCTTTTGCTTCCTTTCTTTGTGCCTTTGGCTTGCCGGTCGCCGCTGGGGGCTTCCACCCACCGGCCTTTTTGTCCGGCCACCTTAAAAGCCCCCATCAATGCCTCCCCCTGCTCTCAACCACGCCGTCCCTTTTTATCCATCTTTTAAAGCTCGTAATGATAACACTTGTCTTGCTTTTGTTTCCATTGCATGGCTACTCCTCGCTACCTCATCTCTCTTCTCTTCTTTCACGGAGAGGGAAAGCCATTCAAAGTAAAGAGAGACAGAGACAAATGGCTGGGAAGTGCCCCCCAATCCCATCACAAACATTCAATGTCACAACCAGGCCAGTGACTTTGACTTGTGATCTTTCTCTCTCTCTCTCTCTCTCTCTCTCTCTCTCTCATCTGATTCAGTGAATGCCAGTATCTGGAATTCAACTGTGCTGGCAGATTCAAGGACTCACTGTAGCCAGCTTGATCTTTTCAGACAGCATGTATTAGAGAGAAAGAGAGAGGGATTGACGGGAAGTGCTCTCCGATCTGATCACTAATATGCATTCTTAGAATCAGTCCTACAGTGACTTTGACTTGCTCTTTCTCTCTCTCTCTCTCTCAATTCATTTTAGTGAATGCCACATACTGGGATTCAACTCTTTGTTGATCTCTGTGGCTGTGCTGGCAAATTAGAGCCAGCTTAACAATTTCTGATAGAAAATTTAGCTTAAAATTACTGGCATCCATCAGAGGTATTATGAAAATTGTATACTCGATTTTTTTTGCTACTAAAATGAATTTTCAACTTGGTTTAAAAATATGGTGCAATTTGAATTTAGCCATTTTTAATAAATGACCTCTACATAAGACTTGAATACTATACCTTCCTCTCTAAATACTCAAAACCTATATAGATGAAATACGATTTCAATGTTGAATCAAAGTGTTTTTTTTACAAGTGTTGTTAGAATCACGAATGGATTTAATGAGGGAGTAGTTTAGGCAGCATAATAAATTGTTTTATTGAGAACCAAACAAAGAAACCTTCTATTTTTACTTGGAAAAATAAACAAATTTGATCATTTAATCATCAAAAGAGTAAAGATGAATTCCTATGATGATATCATATATATATATATATATATATCGTTTTTTATGGTAAAAAATTTCAACAAAAAATCCTAATGATGTTTGTGTTTCTCTGCCATCCAAAACAAAAAAAAAAAGAGGAGAAAACACATAGCATGGAAAATTACACTTGAACAAATGAATAAATAAACTCAAACTTGGGTCTCCCAATGCAATATTTTTAATTATTTTGGCAGTACATGATTTGTTGCCTTGTCATATAATAATATTACATATGATATTATTATATCCATTTGAGGACATCATGACAAGCCATGAGGCTCAAAACACACAAACCAAATCCACCAGCTCATCATTGTGCAATTGTTGGTGTCCGTGGCAGTCTCGTGACTTCCGACGAATCCTTGTCCGATATCTGTTGCCTCCGGAGAGCTATGATTCGGGCCTTGCGAATCTTGATGCCAATCGTGCGGTGCGAAGCCCCCCTGCTGGGGCGATGATGTTGAAGTGTTCCGGCGGAGCAGCGGAAGCAATACTGATTCCCTCCTCCGTCATCTCATCTGCCACCATTATAGGCAGGAATTAAAAGCAGCACTGCGGATGCTATTAAAGCTTCGCTAATTTGGCGTTCATGTCGGTGGACGGTCGCTGAGACGGACCCAGGCGCAATCTTGGGCTCTTTCTAATGCCTTTTTTTGGCTTCAGAGGCCGAAGATTCCGGTTGGTCCTGGTGAATGCGAGCTCCGGGAGCCAATGCCGGTTGTTCTGATGTCACTTTCTTTAGCTTTTGTTTCATCGGGATTTAGAGCTTGTGCGTCGGGGGGTTTATGCGTTTCTCGAGGAGGAAATGCAGATTTAGGGGCTTCCGAGATGGTCGATGATCTTTTTTTGGTGGTCTTTGAACACAAAGTCGTCGATTTTGGTGCGCAGATTTTGTTCGGTTAGGGTTTTAATGCTGTGATTCTTGAGAATTATTCGGAAAATTAGTGTTTGTCTTTGTGAGTGGCTGTTGACTTTTCGTTATCGTTTTGGTGTTACGTACGGATGGAGAAGAAAGTGTGACTGGGAAATCTCGGTGAAAACGTTGATGGATTCTTTGTTTAGTGATTATATGCTCTAGGACGTGAGGGAGAATCTGCGGCGTAGATAAATATCGCATCTTTCATTAGTTTGGTAGGTAAATCTAGGCGCATTTCGTTGTTTTCAGCAAAAAAACAAGGGTGTCTTGTGGTTGAGCTGGATCTTTGATCGACAATGCCAAGCATCAGAGCTCCATCATCAAAAAGGACTGCAAGCCTGTTGGTACGTCATTCAATTCAGTCTGGGAAGATTTAGTAGCAGAAGTTTGATGATCCTGTGAATATTGTTGAAGAGTTCTTTTCTATGATATTTTGGTTTTCTTCTATAGGTGGCAGTAAAATGCAGGCCATTGACTGAAGCAGAACAAAAGCGAAGTAGGCATATTATTCAAGTGACCAATGATAAGGTGCTAATTACAAAAATATTTAGTTTTTTTTTTCATCATTTTGAAGCCATAATTTCTTCTGCTAAATAGAAAGCATGATGATGCTTGTTTCTTGTGTTACAGAGCTTAATTGTCTTGGACCCCGACCTGTCAAAGGACTATCTCGACCTCATCCAAAATCGAACCAAAGAGAGAAGATATAGCTTTGATCACGTATTTGGACCTGGATGTACTAATGCAGTACGTAGATCCTTGCCTTCTTTTGCCTTTTGGTTTTTTCTTTTCTTTTGTTTTTGGCTGGTGTTTCAGGATTTCTGACCAGAGGACAAGTAGTTTCTCCAACCAAACATGCAAGTGGAAATATATCTCCTTGCTTACCTAGTCACTGCTTATTCATTGCCACAACTTTTCTTATTTTTGCAGGATGTTTATAGGAACATATCATCTACAATTGCTGGCGTGATTCAAGGTCTTAATGCCACTGTATTTGCATATGGTTCAACAGGAAGGTATTTAGGTTGTGATATAGTTTTCTTCATTTTCTTTATCATCTGTGTGATGGCAAAAGTGCTCTAATATAGTTTTTTAATTATGGAAGTTAACAGATCTTTAAAGTGTAATAAAGACCAGAAAGATTGGAACTTGTTATATTTTTTGTCTATATTAGTTACATGGATTAATATTAATACATTCAGATGCAACAATTTAACCTAATGTATACTAGATTGGAGCTAGAATTTGCCTGCCTATGGAAACTCATTGGTTAAAATAGCTGTTTCTGTTTTTATCTTTGTGCATCCAATTCATATAACTTTATGAGCTAAAGGGTTGCTTTGTTAAGATTTTTACATTCACATAATTGGCTAATTTTAGAAAAAAAATCTTTCTCAACATAACTATACGAGTGTTTTAATTTTCAAAGATAGATTTTGACTGCAAATTATAGTCTATTGGAATGTTCTTATGTATATAATTATGTTGTTCAAAGTCGTGAAACCTGAAATTCAACTAGCAATAAGTATCTCTACATAATCACAAGCTATTCATAATCTCTTTGTTGGTCTTTACATATTAGGTATCATATGTACATGTTATTTCAAATTTGACTCACCTGGTATCTTACTTCATTGCTTCATGTAAATAGACTCTAGTTTTTATCTTTTGTTGCAATACAACTCTTCACTTTTCAGGCACCTTGGGCTGCATTTGAGTCACTACCATTGTTTTATTTATACATTTAAGATGCTTATATTTTCTACCTGTTTTACAGTGGTAAAACTTACACAATGGTTGGGACCCCTAAGGACCCTGGACTCATGGTTCTTAGTTTGCATACAATTTTTGACCTTATCAAGAAAGATAAGACTTCAGACATCTTCGAAGTCTCTTGTTCTTTCCTTGAAGTATACAATGAAGTATGGTTTTGCTTCTTTGTACTGAATAATGTTGTCATTATTTACCTTGCTTTTCCTATTACATAGGAAGCACTAAAAAGGTTTCCTTTCTATGCATTTTCAGGTCATCTATGATTTGCTTGAAAAATCATCAGGACATTTGGAGCTTAGGGAAGATCCTGAGCATGGCATTGTAGTTGCTGGTTTAAGAAGCATTAAGGTTCTCTCCTCTTCTTTGTATAGATTTTTTGTTTGGAACATAAATAATACATGTCATAGTTATCCTCATTGAGTTTTTTCAGACTGAATATGTTATATCATCAAAATAGCAGTTGCTGCAGATGTAGGTCTTTTTGATAAATTCTTGTTGGTCCCATTTTGCTTCTGATTTCTATTTCCAACAAATTTTTTGTTTGGAACATAAATAATATGCCATAGTTATCTTCATTGAGTTTTTTCCGACTGAGCATGTCATATCAGAATCAAAGTAGCCTCATAGCTGCATCATCTAGGCTTTTTTTTTTTTTGTAAATTATTGTTGGTCCCATTTGGCTTCTGATTACCATTTCTAAGCAGCTGAACTTTTGTTTATTTATTACTCTTGCCATTGTTTCTTTCCTTGTAATTGGAAACATTTGTTCATTTTTCATTCCAAGACATCCAATAAAGCAATAAAAAATCCTTAGGAATGCACATGATCTATCCGTCTGATCAGTGCCATAATTATAAGTTGATGCTCGTACTTCTTTTCTCCTTAGTTTATTACTTTGTACTTCTGTCATCTGCATGTGTTTTGCACCGATAGGTTTCTTGGAAAAGTTTTTAATAATTTTGATCCATTCTCGTCAGGTTCAATCAGCTGACAAGATTCTTGAACTTTTGAATCTTGGAAATAGCAGGCGCAAAACTGAAAGCACAGAGGCAAATGCAACCTCATCACGGTAACTCAGTCAACAATTTTTTTAAAAAAATCTGTTTTCCTTTTTGGATGAAGTACAATGTCTTGCCAGTTTGTGTCATTAAATACTTGCTGAAGTGTTGTTAGCAGATTTAAAAATAATAAAGTTTCCAAAATTGATGTCATACTTATTCTAGACTTCCTACATTTACCTGTCCATCAAGATGAACAATTCAAATTTCAAGTTAAATTGTGCTAGGTATTCTCCATAATGCATGTTTATTTTACGCTCTTACAAGCTTCTATGTCATATATTATTGCTATCAGTTACGAACAAATTCAAATTTCAAGTTCAACTGAGTTAGGTACTCTCCGTGATGCATATTTATTTCATATTCTTATAGGCTTCTAAATGTCACATACTATTACTATCGATTAGGAATCAGCAATTAAATTCTTTCTTGACATTAACCAATCTAATCATTCCTGCTCTCAAAAACTCCCAGGGCACTTGAACTGCATTTTCCATTAGTTTTTTTAGCATTCAACCCTCGTATATGGTTCTTTGATAAAATATCTAATCACAGTTTGTCCAAGATCCAGAATGAATAAAAAAACCTAACTACTTTTTTTAAAACTTGTTTTTGAAGTTCACATGCAGTTCTGGAGATTACTGTTAAAAGAAAGCAGAGAAACCAATATCAGAGTCAAATTCTCCGTGGAAAACTTGCATTAGTTGACCTTGCTGGCAGGTTGGTTTCTGTTTAGGGAGACTTCTTATATTTGCTTCTGCAAAATCATAAATCCGAGAAACTGACAATGACCCCATATGCAGTGAAAGGGCTTCTGAAACTAATAGTGGTGGCCAAAAGCTAAGGGATGGAGCTAATATCAACCGGTCTTTGCTTGCCTTGGCAAATTGCATAAATGCCCTTGGCAAGCAACAGAAAAAGGGTCTAGCATATGTCCCTTATCGCAACAGGTATGTGGATGGTTTTTCAGACACCACATTTGGTCGTGTGTTACTGACAGTAAGTTTTTTACAGCAAGTTGACCCGTATCCTAAAGGATGGACTTAGTGGCAATTCTCAAACAATCATGGTTGCAACTATATCACCTGCTGATGATCAGTATCACCACACTATCAATACCCTGAAATATGCTGACAGAGCTAAGGAGATCAAAACCCAAGTTCATGTAAGGCTGAATCTATTATTTAATTGGTATAAGTAATTGAGACCTATAAGCTTTTTCCTTCCAATGCTTTATAAAGATCATAAACTTAAATTGGCAGATAGATGGGTGAAGTAAGCTTTCACTGTTTAATAGTTAGCCCTCGCATATTGATGTTAACAAGAATTACTAGAATCTATGTAACACAAAACATGCTTAGAATTGTGTAGCATTACTATTTGCATGGATAATCCTCATGACTTGACCCAGAAATCATGGAGATGACTACTATATAATCATTGATTTGCTCCTCTTTCAGAAAAACATTGGGACAGTCCATACCCATGTTGCAGATTATCAACGAATGATTGATAGTCTCCAGGTAATCATATTGACAGAATCTTTCACTCTTTTTTCCTTGGGTTAAGAATACCTTTGTGATTTCAACTTTATTTTCTTGTGCAGATTGAGGTTAGCCGGCTAAGAAAAGAATTAGCTGAGAAGGAATCTCAGTTAAGCATAAAACAAGTGGAAACAGCTGCAGACAATGAACTATCATGGTTGAATATATTAAGTCGTGAAACAAGTGAGAATGTACAGGAACGCATAAATCTGCAAAAAGCACTGTTTGAGATTGAAGAAACTAACATACGGAACCGCACTGAGCTACAGCACCTTGATGATGCAATTGCTATGCAAGAGGTTTAAAATTTTAGTATTTCCTTGTATTTATTCATTTTACACATTCCATTCATCTAAAGAAACACCTTAGGAATACGAAAAATGCATAATTAATATGTAATTCTTTCATAATAATTAAATCTGGAGAACCTGTGGTCGTACCTACTTTTCTTTTGGAGTTGTATATCTAGTTTGTGCCTCCACGTTCCACACCTTCAGAGAATCATATTTTAAAAATTCCATTGTCATATGTCCAATTCTGGGCCACTTTTACTCCATGAAAAGCTTGTTTTTAGTGCCTAGGCCATGATGAAATGTAAAAGCGCAAGCCCGGTGCACAAAGCTCCTACAAGCAGGAGGCTGTTTTCTGTCGAACCTTGATAACTCAGGTCACCTAGGCCATTGTAGAATATGGGGAACTTTTTCCAGTAGTTGTTCATGATACAATTAAGAAGGTTAGGTTCCTACATTTTCCATTCCATGGTGAATGTCACTTAGACAAGATGAAATATGTTCTAAGTATCTCGCACAATATTTATTCTTCAAGTAATGTGACCTCTTGGGATGTGGTAATGGGGAGCATCTTTGTCATTAAGGAAATAGTTGAACTATGACAAGGAGGATTATGAATAAGCCTAACTAGGTATGCTTGAGATTGCAGCATGATGCTGCATGCCTATTCCCGTCAAATGTTGCCTTCTAGAGTGCTAACGCTATATATTCTGTCGAGACACATCAGGATAATAAATGAGATCCCCTTGGTAACTATTGCTGTGTCTTGTACATGTGCCAGGTTGAGGGCATGGGTACAAAGCACTGTCATGTGTTCTCACCCATAATGTAGAAGTATGCAACTTTATATGGTGTCCCAACTCACTTGTAGGGTTCTATTGTTTGTGAGCATGACAATTGAAGCACTAAGCTTCATAGTGATCCATCTATAGTCACTCACCCCCTTTTAATCATTGCAATATATCTTTTGCGAGATGAGTTGGGTATAATTACTATATAGTATATACATCTGACCTTGACTTCTAACAATGGGCTATATGTATACCTAGGTTATAGAGAAGGATGGAGCAGTTGTTCGAGCACTAAGGTCGAGGAGACAAGTTATTTTGGATAACATCCGTGATAATGATGAGGCTGGTACTGGTTACAAAAAGGTTAGTATTTGTAATGTGTTGTTGCATTGCTTATTTTAACAACTTACCAATTATGCATCCATTTCTTTAGGATATAGAGATAAACGAGAAACATCGACATCAGCTTCAAGATATGATTGATGAAGCCATTAGTAACAATGGCAACAGAACTTATCTGCACATTCTTAGTCAGTACAGACTCCTAGTAAGTGTTGAAACAATGCTGTAACTCATAAGTCAATTTAGAGAATGATATAATCTAATGTTTGGAAAAAAAATACAGGGAATGACAAATACTGAACTTCAATTTGAGATGGCAATGCGAGATCAAGTCATCCATGATCAAAGAGATGCAATGAGAAAGCTTTGGAATGTGCTCTTGGGATTGGGGCTTGACCAACAGCAAGTAATGGATCTTGCTGCCAAACAAGGGATCAAAATAGAGGAATCTACTACTCCCCAAGCTAGTTATCTAAGCATGATGCAGTCACCAGTTGTTTCTCTTATCAGAAACCCACCTTACATGTTGCATCCTGGTCCAAGTATGCAAACATATCATTCTAATGCCTGCATCTTCCAACATCACCAAGGCCATAGCTCTGTGGCTTACGCCGGGTCGCAGATTGACAGTCCTACCGTCTGCAGAGAGGAGCACCATTCTTCTTACTATTTGCACTCTCATGATCACCCATGCTCGGCATATTACGGGAAGGGAGAAAGAGGGTCGAGCGGTGGACTTAATCCATGTTTTTATACTCCCGAGAAACCTGCTCAAGAAGCATGCCGCCTTTGCCCAGTGTTGAATGCTCAGCCGTCACCATGCAGTAAAGAACAATCATATTCTAGCAAAGACTTGCGGCATCAATCACAGGTACTCTTTTGTTAGATAAATTTTGTATATTACATTTCCTAATTCTGCCAAGGTAATATCTGATGGAAGTTGGGTGCTCCTTTGAGAATTAGTGAACTGTAAATTATTAGGCTTCTCTCAATCCCACATTTTCTTGGTAGATGATATGGAATAGCTAAGCAACTCAGTTGATCCTGAAAAAAAAAGCAATTATGAGATTGATGTCTCTGGATATCATGAACTCTGAATGATATCAGTTAATTGGAAGGTTCTAGTTGATCTTCCTAATAGCATAGAGTTTTATCATCTCCTAGGCATCAGTTTTCTCTGGTCTCACCGATGTTTTTGACCTTGACAACAGGAAACATGTTTTGCAAGTGGGCAATCCCTGCATGAAGTTTCCCCTTCTGGATCAAGTTGCAGACACCTAAACGAGGAATCTGTGAGTAATGGTGGGATGAACAATAGATTACATGGTACTTATAATTTCCTCAACTTGCTGACGAAGCATCCAGATCCTTTGCCGAACTTTGGAGCAGTTGGTATGAGGCCTTTGAACAGTCCTGGGTTGTGATGAGGCATGTTCTCAAATTTTTGTATCATATTTTTCCTTCTTTTTCCTCTGTAATTTATCCTAGTTTCTGTACAGAATTTGCCACTGTAGTTATCCTAGATTCTTTGCAAGGTTGTAAATGTTATATTTTATTGCACTAATGAATAATTGTTTGTCCTTTCTCAAAAAAATATAAAGATTTTTTTAGATTAAAATAATTAATATGTTGTTGGGGAATTGGATAAACTGAGATCGGCTATAGGCTGCTTGTGATGGGATGAGTATGTCGGGAACAGATGGTTTGATCCACCCGCGACCTGTGGGGCCCATCTCAATGGACGGTCGAGATGTGGTAGTTGGAGGTTTCCCATTTGAAATGCAGATTGGAGCGGATCCCTTTCTATCCGATCCTAGATTCTGACACAGACCGCCATCCACGCGGCGCCGAACACGCCGTCGAGTTCGCGCCTAAACTTCCTCCTTCCTCTCTCACTGGAGAAATCAACCCGCAGATGTACCTGCCACCGCCACGGTATCGACCAATCATTATAGGAGTAGATAAATGAGGAAAGCAAATGTGGTAGGTAAGAACTGTTCTTCCAGAAACATCTGCGGCCTTTTTTGGAGCCCAAAATCTCGCCATTTATTTACATCCATTCCATCGGAAGAATATAAGTGTCTCGAAAAGAGAATCAAAACCTCGATTTCGGTTGCTCATGGCGATCCATTCTCGATTCGTTGCGATCTGCCTCATCGTCTTCGCGATCGGAGCGACGGGCGCCGTAATCTCCTCCGAGACCTTGACTTCCGCGGCACCCAAGGCGATCTCAGTAACCGATCTTTCCCTAAAATTTTGATTTTGTTCCCTGAATTTGGTTTCTGATTGTGATGTTATGTTGGCATTGAGAAATTCTGATGATTTGATTGAAGGAATTGAGGGACCTGATCGTGAAGGGATTAGGGTTCCAGTCGGAGGACCTGAAAGTCTCCGGGTTCGACGTACGGGACGCGCTGGTGGGGCAGGCGGTGGCGTATGAGTTCGATGTCGAGGTGGAGAAGAGGGTGATCCCGATAAGGCTGTTGGAGGACGTCAGCCGATGGGACTTCGTCGACCTCCCCATCTTTAGGATGGCAAAGGAGGAGGAGGAGGAGGAGGAGAAGGGGTTGGCCGAGATTGGGAGAGGGTCAGATGATAGGGTTTCACCAGTATTGCCCCCATTTCAGCTCGCCGGCCCGATGGAGCTGTGGATCCAAGACGGGGACGACATGAGGCTCTCTTTGCCGGTACGCGATTCGCTTCAACTCAATCTTTTGATGTTTCTAATCACATCAAAATTCTCCTGACAATATATATTTTCTAATCAATTTTTCAGGAATTATCTTTGTAGCTGAAATTATGAAAATGTTTAGTGCATAGGCTTCTTTTTTCATTTGATAAAGGTAGATGAAACAATGAAATCATGAATTATGTTCATTACTTAAATAATTAGGATACGTGAGTTTATGAAATCATAAGATAACTCGTTGATGCAGTTGTGGTGGTTCTGAGAATCTACCTACTTTCCTTGGGGGTGTCGATTGAACTTGATAACTTCACGGACCTGACTCCAACCTGATTATATTCGTATAATTCCCTGAAAGTTCCATAAAGATATTGAGTGGCATGTGGATTTCTCGTGTTCGATAGCTTATTCAATATGGGTACAACGCAGTAATATGATATGCTAAGTATGTTTTGTTCATATATGTCAGATTATTGTAACAAAAATGCGTCAGCCTGATAATTATTTATGGTATTTGATTGATAAGTAGTGTAAGCTGTGGGTGTCCCTTAAGCCATCTATAACTAAAATGTAGCTGAAATTTATTATTAAAAGGTTGTATTCATGTACAATTAATATGTATATCTAGTTGTTTAGTACAGATTCTGATGTGAACCTGCCACCTATTGGGTTTTAGTTTGGATTTGGATTCTTCAAACCTGGTTAAATTTAGATTTAGATACAGAGTGGATCTGAACAGATATTGCCTCTAAATATCCTCATGGGTTCATAGTTACATGTCTGCATGATTGCGAATGGCAAGAATTTCAATTACATTTACACAAAATAACAGATATCTTAATCGGCTCTTGGTTTTCTTTAATGTGCATACTTAGATTGCTCTATATGTATGCTAGTCTTGTCCTGCTTCAGACACTTGTTGTATGTTTCTTTTCCTTGTGTTTGGTAGCCATGTGTTGGCATCACTATTTGATTGGGAGACCAAAGCCTGTAAAGGGTTTTCTGTACTTCCTAAGACCATTTTATTTTCATCGTGGCTTACATGTTCAATGATCTTGTAGATATTCCCAGAGACATAACATGCTTTGCTGTTTGTCACCACCATGCAGCATGATGTGGAAGCTGGTGCACTGAAGAAGGTTATCCTATCGGATGGTGCAGCGGTGACAGTGAAGGGTGCCAAGTCCATTAGCCTTCGCCACCCAATTGATCTCCCCCTTCCCCTCAACCGCAGTCACCCAAAAAACCGTCCTGTGGCATCAGCCCTGCTATCCATAGCTGAAGCCCTCCGCCATGCTTCACGTAGCAACCAGAAACCGCTCCTTTCACTGCGAATAGTTGGCCCAACGTCCCTCACTTCATCCCCTTCGGCATCTCCCAATGACAAACTGAAGCTCAAGCGTCTTGCACCTGGTCTTGTTGAGCTTTCTTCTCGTTCCGTCCCAGAACCATCTGACGAAGTTGATGGATCTCGTAGGACCACGTTGTGGCCTCTGACATCGCTTAATGGATCAGATCCAAGCCTTCATGGTTTTGAGGAATTATTGGCATCAGTACTAGGGAAAAAGGGGTATGAAGAGGGATCCTTCAGACTGGTCAAGGCACAGGTGTCTGCACAAACCTATGTGAAAATGGGCTTTGCGGTAGAGAAGAAGCTTCTTGATAGAGAGGGAGAGGTTGATTGGTCAGTTTTTCCTGCATGGAAAACAAAGCCTGAGAAGGCTATAATGCACTTCGAGGTGTTGGCCAGGGTTGAAGATAATGGAAGGGTAGTTCCGGAGAGGATAGCCGAGATCCAGCCATTTGAAATACAGGAATCAATTATTGATAGCTTGCAAACTGGAAATACTTCCATGTCCAAGGCTCAAATAGTCCATCCGCCACCCATGTACTTCACGCTTTGATTTAGTACTTCCTTGTTGCTCATGTTTGGGGAAAGGTAATGGGTAGCACAAGAGTTCCAGGACAGGGATTCTAATTTTCTTTCTTTGCCATTACCGACAATGAAGGTGTTTGTGTGTTGTACATTTATTTGAAGAAAATGGATCCCAAAGTGGATGACCATCTGAGAATGCAAGAAATGAAGATAGAAAATAACTTTTATATGAAACTTCGCTTTTGCTGGCTTGGATCTAAATATGAACTTTTGAGATAGAGTTCTTTTGCTGGTTCATTCTGTTCGAAAATTTTAGCTGGTTTGGATTGAAAGATTGGTTCTCATGACAAGGCAGAAAATATTTGGGATATCTTTATATCTTGTTGATTTCATCTATGCCTCTCCTAAGATGAGATAAGAAATACGAATTGCTATGGGAAACGTTTCTGTTTATTTATTTTATTTTATGATGTGAGTATTCCTTATTCAGACTGTCCCGTGTGGAAATGTTCCTCGAAGAGTAAGACTTTGGCAGCAGTCAGCCATGGTGGAGACGGGAGGCAGACTGCGCAGCCACGTTGTCGGTGGCATCCGACTTGGCTTGCGATTGCCATTATCTTGGTGCTGAGATTAAGCGTCTTCGACTACAGTAAGAAACAACCCATCAGACCGTAACACCACACGGACTAATGATCATTATACAGTGCTGAAAAGCTTCAAAGTACAGTATCTCGCTTTCCCTGATATCAATACTCTCTCTCTCTCTCTCTCTGTTTCTGCAACCTGAATAGGGCGGCTTGTGATTGTTCAGAAGCTCGTGATGGCTTTTTGCTCGTCTCAGAGGACAGCGCCTTGTCTGAGGCTCCTGTGGAACACCTTTCGTCATTTCCTCTGGGTAAGATAGGAGAGGGAGAGACAGAGAGGGAGGCACGCGTGGCTGCAGAAGGAGCAGGCGGGGGTTGTAATCTCTTGTTTAACCTTTTTCTTCTCGTCGTCTTGCTCGTCAGTGACCTCTCAGTCTGCAGGATTGGCCTCTCCTTCTCAAAGAAAACGCCAAGATCATGGTATTTCTTCTCCTGCTGCCTCGTACCTGCATGCCTCGACCAAGTCCAAAACCAAAACCTCTGAGCTCATCACACCATGCCATATGCCAATAGCAACCACATTTCAAACTCATGCATGCTGAAGTGATAGTGTTAAGAAGTACAGCATCCCTTGTGTTGATTCTAAGCCAGAGTGAGAGCTGATTGAATAGGTATTAAATTGTTGTCACATGCAATTAATTGTGGCCTAAATAATTTAGATTGTGTTGCTATTTGCATCTGAAAATAAGGCTTCAGTAACAAATAAATAGTATTGCTTATGACTCAAATCAAGCAGAGCGGAAAAATTGATGTAGGACTTGCTGATGTACAAGACAATAGAGGTCAAACTCAGAATTTTCTTCTCTCTGTCACTCTTCTTCTTTCTTGTTGGAAAGAAGACATTCTTCTTCTTATCCTTATAGAAGGCTTATTCTTTCAACTTCTGACTTTGATTTATTAGTTTTTCTCTTAATCAAATCTAACTCGGTTATGTTTCCTGCCATGCAGCAGTATCTCACTGCCACCATAGTAGCACATATCAGAGAAGAGTAATGGAGAAGCACTAAGATGGCTCCACATGAAAATTTTCAGCAGTCCAGCTCGGGTCAAATCTAACATGCCCAGTTCAAATTCTGGACCACCTCATCTTGCAGTGATGGACCCAACCTGAGACCACCTACACAAAATTATTCGCTTCACCAAACTCAGCAGTGGTGGATGAATGCAGCAGCAGGAGTCCTGTGTCCTGTTCTTTGGGCACAAGACACGCACACACCAAGCCAATCCATCTGCAGACCTTATCAACCCTGGTATCCAGTTCTCTGGCCTCTATCTGTTCCCTGTCTTCTCTGTCATTCTTCTTCAAAGTCTATATTAGGAGTATGCTATGAACAGCAATACAAAGAGACGTATCATATCAGGATGAATTGATAGCTTCAATCTTTTGTTTCTTGGGCACTGCCAAAATTTTCTTTTAGGTTTACACAACCATCAGAATCATCTTACTTTTCCCTTTTTTTTTCCCCCTAAAAATGATCCTGCAACTTGTTCGATTCAAAGATATGGATGTTTGATATGTAGAATGTCAACATATCATAAGCAAGCCATGTCTTATGTGGTTCTATAATAAGATTAACTTTAAAGTAATTATTAAATGATAGGGGATATAATAGCTAATCATCCAACACACCCAAGGAAGGATAAGACGAAGCTTCATTTTGATGAGAGAGATAATAATAGATTTTATTCTCGTTATTAATGACGCGAAAATAATCATAAACTTCTTTCTTGTTTATTTTTGAAAATAAAGATAATCGTAAGTTTATATTGTACGACCAGATATAAAAGCTTACCTTTAACATAGAGAAAAAGAGATGACTTTTTTGGACTACTCGCATTCATTCTCATATACCTTAGATTACTAACTTAAGCATTGGAAGGATCGAGTCAGAAAACCTCTCCTCTCTTAGGTTTTCGTACATGTGGTATATCGAGAGCATGACGTTTCCACCTCAGATACATTTTGGATAGTCTTGCGCATATGAGTCTGGACTACGTTGGGCTGATCAAGACATTAATGATATTTTTTTCTAATATTTTGATATTAGAAGAAGGATCCGATGTAGTAGAAACATCCACCCGCCAATCCTCTCAATGAACTCTCTAGCGAGGAGGCCCTACCTCCAACCTATAATACTTTTACTCAATGGGATAACCGTTATCCTTTCCACATGTGGATACGTCAACCTTAGCACACATGCCGATGAAGTACTAGCATATGTTCAATGACTCAAGCCCATCACCCCTAGGGACAAACTTGAGCCACTTGCTCGTCCCCATTGAGGTGTTCTTAAACCTCACCCATTAGGTGCATATGCTCACAAGCATGTTACAGGCTATCACCCTGCTCCTACCTCAACTAGCCCAATAAGCGGTGCCATCGTCTCAGCCATGGTCGACATCTCAACCGCCACAAGCAATGGAACCCATCGAAATCCCCCGAATCGACATGATACCATCATCTCAAGATCACCCGAGGTTTGCAGAACTATGAGCTGAAGGAGTGCGTCACTCCCTAATTGTGGAGTTCAGTGCATCACCACACCATCGCTCTGCTCCGCTTGAATTCAAGACCCAATAAGTGGATTCAATGGATGACTCCTTGAGGGTCCAATCAAGGCAAATGGACCAAAGTCTAGATGAGATGCGATAGAAGTTCTAGTAGGCCAAGGGGGGAGAATCTGGTCGATCCCACCTCAGGTCTATACCCATTCACCTAGAACATCTAACGAGGAACTAATCTTGTCCAACTTTCGCCTCCCATCGTTAGAAGTCTTTGATTGCAGTACTGACCCAATTGAACACACTACCACCTTCTGCACCCATATATCTCTCTATAGCACCTTAGATGCTCTGATGTGTCACGCATTCTTAATGACACTAAGAGGCCTAGCGTGAGAGTGGTACACTCGTCTCAAGCCACTCTCAGTTGGCTCCTTCGCTCAGCTCATAAAAGAGTTTGAACTCTACTTCCTTAGGAATATACACCCGAGGTCATCAATGGTAATGTTGCTCGGACTCAAGCAAGGGGAGGAAGAAATACTCTATGACTTCATCACTCAGTTCACCAATAAAATTTGAAGTGTACAAGAAGCTCATCCATCACTCATGATTCAAGCCTTTATGACGGAGCTCAAGTCCTCTTATCTTTTCTAGTCATTAGTGGAGAGGCCACCAACAATCATACCTAAGGTCCAAAGGGCCAACCGATACATAGTTACTAAGGTGATGGTCTCAAGTAAGTGCGAGAAGATGCGTAAGATGCTGCGACAAGAGCGACCACTATTAGTTCCAACATCAAGGTCACCTCAGTGAAAAAAATAAGACCACCTTGAGTTGCTTTGCTTGAGATTAGAGTTGATCCCTCTTAACATGATGAGAACCAAGGTCTTCTTATAGATAAAGAAAAAAAAGATTCTTGAACGACGCCCAACTAATAAAGAAACCATTAGACAGGAAGGATAGATCCAAGTATTATTACTTCCACCATGATTATAACCATAACACGAAAGACTATCGTGATTCGAAGAAACAAATTGAGGAGCTTATTCATTGAGGGCACCTTAGGAGATTCGTCCGAGAACCTTCGGCTTAACCTTAGGGCTTGGTGGAGAAGCAGACTGACATCATCATCGAGGGACTTGCCTCATGAGGGGATAATACATCGGGTCACAAAGTCTGCACCCAAGCCACCATCGAGAAATGCCCGAGGTTAGAAGATGACTCAGAAATAACATTCAAGGATGAGGAGATGAAGTACCTCGACCCAAACCATGATGACACTATAGTGGTCTTTGTAAGAATGATTACCACCCAAGTAAAAAGGGTTATGATCGACACAGGAAGCTTCGCCAACATCCTTTACCTTAACACTTCTAAAAAATTTAGGCTCTTGGCTAATGATCTCACTCCTATGACTTCTTTATTGATGGGGTTTACAAGCAACTCAATCTCCCCTCTCAAGACCATAAGTTTGTATGTCACGTTCGGTGATGAACCTTGCTCTAAAATGATGATGACCAAATTTATGGTGGTTAACATCCCCTTAGCAAACAACACGATCATAGGCTGACCCACACTCAATAAGCTGAGGACTATGGTGTCAACATATCATATAGTGATGAAGTTCTCAATAAGAACTAGCATTGAAGAGCTGAGGAGCAATATAAAGGAGTCTCACTAGTGTTATGTAATGATAGTTTTCTTACCGAAGAAGGTATGGCTCGAGGCACCATTGTTGGACCTCGAGATTTTATTAAGCTCCTTCCATATTCGAAGCCAATTGAGTCACTGGTTGAGGAACCTTTGGATAAGACCTATCTTTATCAGGTCATCAAGGTCAGGGTGACACTCCTTAACGAGAAACAAGTGTAACTCATCGACTTTATGAAGGAAAATACTGAGGTGTTTATATGGTCACCGAGAGACATGTAGGAATAGACCCCGATATGACCTAACACCACCTAAACATCTCCCATGATGTTTGACTTGTGAAGCAAAAGCCTAGTAAATTCACTCCCAAATGCTGACAAACGATTAGCGACAAGGTAAACATGCTACTAGAGGTAGGGTTTATTACTACAGTGCAGT